CAATTGAGATGAGCTTATGATAATGCTCAGTACTTTGTTCTTTTGTACTTGATAGCATAATGGTACCCCAAGTTTCTACAAAGATCAGGAAATAAATCATTATCACTTTGCGGTTACTCTATCTTTATTATTACTCTATCTATATCCATGTATAATTTTAATTCAGCATGCGCGCCATTGAAAGTTAACACTTCGTTTCACAAATTTCCATACTCGTCTTTTGTGGATTATCATCTTTCTGGACAAAGGCCGCGCAGTTTCATTAACATCGGCAAAATTTCTAAAACAAATACAATAGGAAAACCTCGAAATGCTGGGCTTAATTAAAACAAAAATATAATCAAAATTAACACCCAAAAAAGAAGCGAATGCAGCCAACGTCGTATCAGATTGCGTAATCAATTCGAATTTGTTTATAATTCGAAACTAAAACCGGACCACAGCCAACAGTCAACAGCTGCATAATACGTTTATATATAACGGGGACATATATATATATATATACATTTTGGATTCATGACACACTCTGAGGCATGACCGTTACATTGCCCAAACCCCAAAAAGGCAAAGCCATTCCCTTCCCTTTCCCCTATTTTCCCTTCCGATTGCTATTGCCGCTTTTAAATTTGTTGACACTTTTTGCGCATTACAAAACTCGGCCAATAGAGTGATATAAGGGGGACGCGGTGGTGACAGGTTAGAGTGGGGTTCAGAGGCGTGGGCATGGTCATTAGGCAGGGTTCAGTCCGAAGCAATGCTTCCGGTTGGCCACGTTCAGTGCCTCTGGTACACTATGCGACGAAATTGTATATGCGGAAATTGGAAAGATTATCTTGGTGGGAATAAGAAAGAGGAATATAATGAGGCTTTGTGTTTTTGGGTCAAGTTTAATGTTTACCTAATGGCTGATATCTTTCCTTAACGGATTTTCTTATAGAAAAAGAACAGAACTTTTCAATTTTCATTTTAAACCAAAACTTTCTTTATAAATGAGTTTATATATAATTTTTTAACATTTATGTAAAGAATATCCATCTTAAATATTTATTTTATATATATTTTACATATTTTAAATAGCTGAATTGATACATAACTATCCTTATATACCAAAGATAACCCTCCGAACCAAATAAATTGACCGTGAAACCTTTTTCCCATTGCATTTAACGCACACTTCAAGCCATTATCAACTCCAGATCTAGATGGTAACCATGCCCCCACAAAGAAGAGTCACTATTCAAACTAAACAAAGACATCCGGCTGGCATGCAACGCTTCATGGCAGCTTGTCAATTCTAAGCACATCACTTATGGTCTCCCCTTTGCCCCCTGCCGCGTTCCACAATGCCACAGCCCCTGCCACCAAAAAGTGATCTCCCACTCCAATGAGGAGTTAGCTGTCTGTTCATTTGTTTGTTTGCCAGAGCCGCAGAACGTGCGGCGACTTAGAAAAACCGCAAATGAGTTTGAACTACCGGACAGCAGTTTTGCATTTCTGCATAAGTGGCCTGTCCTCGGGTGATTGTTTGCGGTGCTGATGGTGGTTAGCATTCATATATATATATATATATCATAATCAAGCTGGCTGGCCGGCTTAGCGTTGAGTCATAAACTATGCTAAACCGAAAGTCCAGAAAAGTCCGAGGAACAAATGCTGCAGATACAGATACAGAAACTCAAGTTCGTTGCCTGAGTCTTTTGTATGCAAGAGTCGAAGAAGTTGGGGATAAAAACGCAAGCTAAAAACTTGCATAACGGAAAGAGAGACCACCAAACAAGTCCTATCTTTGCAGCATGTACCACTGTCGTATATATATTTATATATATATATATATATCTTCTGTTCATACATAAATTAAAGAAGAAGAAGAAGAAGAAGCCTGGACTCGCTTAACGAGTGCCAGTGAAAAATGAAAATCAATGACAGTAAAAGACAAATTGTGCGCCAAGTAAAAACAGACAAAACAAAAGGAGTGGGAGGACCCCAAAGGCCCTAGAACACTATTCGCGTATTATAAACGACTAACCGTGACAGCAAACAGCTCGACGAAGAACCAAGAAGAACAGACCTGAGCTCCACTGCTGCAATGGCAACCCTAGCTGGGGCTCGAGATGGAGCTGGAGGCTGCCAGCAGAAGCAGCAGCGGCAGCATAACGAACTGAAATTCAAGGTTCATGTCAGTAACCCTAAGCTCCAGTCTTGGCACAACAATAAAAGCAACAGCTAAAACATAAAACACACACATAAAGATGTTCTCGCTATATAGAAATCGGCTAGGGCCTCTTTCTCCCATTCACTCTGTCGGCTAACGAACTAAGCAGAGCTCAGCTAGGTGTTATACCCTGACTTTTAAGAGGTGGTTTTATATTGATATGGCTTTAAATCACTTTCTGTGTATCGAGAGATGATAAATCACTTGTTAGAGAACTTGATTGTTAGGAACTTTGTGTGATTAATATGTTATTATTTTGATAAAATCTATTCTTTTATTAAATTGCATACTTCATGATTCATAAATAAAGATATAAACACATTCTGTGTTCTTATTCGTAAATGATTATAAAGAAAAGGTGAAATTATTTAAATCTTCAACTAACTTATTTTATATGCATTTATGTTTAATTCCCTAAAAATATTTACTTTAAAAGGGTATTCCCTTTTTGAAGTTTACCCTTTTCAGTAAGATTTTTAGCGCTAAATTGGCGTTCGTTGCATGCCGACTCTGACTGCAAGACTGTCTTTGACTGTCTGACTGACTGACTGCCTGCGAGCGTCGAGTACCAAAGTAAATTTCATTTAAGTTCTCTTCTTTCTTATTGGAGCGACGACAACTGTTGCGTCTGCACCAGGTATCAGGGACCAGGGACCGGGACAAGGGACTAGTGTCTAGGGTCTAGAGTTTAGGCACCCGGGATCCGGGACCGCTTAAATGCCTATTACCACGCATGCATGACAGTCCCCCTCCACCCACATAGGCCTGTCTAGGCGGAGGACTTGACTGGGTAAATGCCGTCCCCATGGGGTCTACTCCCTTACCCCGTCCATCCCGAACACCATTCCATGATTCAGTGATGTGTGTGTGTATGTGCTAGGGTTATTTACCATTCCAACTGGATGATCGAGTGCCAGGGTCCGTTGAAAATTGCAGCTAAACCATTTTAAAGTTATTACCGGAATGAGACAGAAGACAGCATTCAAATGGAAATTTTTGGAATTCTTTGAAAGGCAGGCCAATCAAACACAATTATGTCTCAGCTAAATGAATATTGATTGACTAATCTACGGAATCAGAACTTCAAATTGAAAGATCGGCTGTTGAGGAAAATGGTTTCCCAGCAATTTGGCTTCTTCAAGACCATTTCCCATTCATGTGCAGCAATTAGCGATCAGGTTCAAGTTCCCATTAATGAATTAACTCTTAATTGAATGTTCCTGTGAATAGTCCACTGCCACTTGGCCAGAAACAATCTTCCATCTCTTGGCCAGCCATGGGCGAGTCAAGTGTTTTGTGTCGGTTTTATAATACACAGCTTAAAGACCCCTTACTAAGGTCGTCATTTATTTATGACATGAGTTTGCGCCCCGAAACCATGCCCGAAAACAAATGTAATTATATAAGAGAGCCCAGCCAGCAGAGAAGAATCCCAAAGAACAACAAGTTGGCTCACAAAAGAGCTTTACAAGCCAGCCACCAACTAACAAAAAAAAAACTTTTAAAAAAGAAGCAGGAAAGCCAAAGAGAAACAAGAATTATATCATAAAAGATGAGGCCTGGCTGATATTTTGTTGGCCGGGGCTCGTCCGCCCGGGTCTTCCGAGAATGGACCGACCTGTGGACGATGATGATTCAGCAGGCAGAAGACGCAGGCAGACGGAGCTTAATGAATACCTTGCAGATTTTGAGGAATTGATGCTGGGGAAAAAAAGCAGAGCCAAGCCAAGCCGAAAACAGAAATTACGTTTCAATAATGGCGTTGCCAATGCGAATTGCGGATGGCGATGATGATGATGAGACGCGTGAGATATTTCCAATACGATTTACGTGGTTTCCGCTAGAATTGCAAAAGAATTCTTTTTGCTAGTTACCGTAAATGTGGGACAAAGCCGTAGAGTTTGTTTACCCCAGCGATGACTCAATTCCGGTGGACAATTTGCAATGTGATCTTAAGGAATTTCTTTGCTTATCTAATTATATAAGAATAATAACTCATTGACCCATAAGTCCAGCTCAAACTCTTTACCTCGCTGTCCTAGTTCTCATTGCTATATTTAAAACTCTTCCCATATAAATGGCTTAACTCTGACAAAGTTGTAAACTTTTAGTTATCTTAATATTTAAAATGTGTTGAAGGAGCTATAAAAATCTCATAAAGTTTAACCTTAACTTCATATTAGCAATGTTAAGGTGTTTTACTAGAGGACCGAAGAGGGACATAAACCGATTAATGGTTTTTAAAGTGCTACTTATAAAAGAAAATCAAATGCAAGGAAGTCAAGTTTTTAAAATTAGTGTATTCTTACCCTTAATAAAGTAGAAATATTATTCAAGAAGAGGATCTATATTCAGAAATATCCATTCTTTTTCCCTAAGCTTTTTGTTCTCTTAGTGTAAGAACTATCCACCGATATAGTTGTCTATGAAATAAGACACAAAACTAAATCCTATTGCTATCTCGCACACATGCCTCACTTTGTTAAAAGTGTAAAAAAAAGATGATGACTTATACAAAACATTTTATAGAAAACAAAACATCTAAATGTGATATCTAACATGTTAAATAAGAGAAATTTGTAGGGAACAATAGTTAAGAAAAGGTTATGACTCATTATGTTATGGACAAACTTTTTGTCAAAGTCAAGGCTTTGCTTAAACTTAAAATTAATCAACATGATAAAATACCAAGATTAAAAGTTTGATTATATAATTAATTTCTTTAGAACATAAATTAGGAATAAAACAAGCAACAAGCAAACTAAAAATCCAATTTTACCTTTTCCAGAATTCACCACAATTTTGTCAGTGCCAAGCAGCCAGCCAGAGGAGACCAGCATGCGATCGACGAGCATTGAACCCATCACCTCTACTGAGCCCACGACAACGCCACGCCAGGAGACCGATCATCCAGTGTTCTCCAACACGGAGCCAGATCAGAGCCACATTCAGCACATTCCACTGAGGGATGAGCATGCCGAGAGCAGTGGCGGCGACGATGCCACCACAGAGATGCTGCGTGAGCAACAGCAACTGGAGCAAGATCAGCAGCAGAACGAGCTCAATCAGATCTCCAATGAGCAGGACGATGTGGTCAAGGATCTCAACAATTTCCGACATCCGGCCACCCTCATAACGGCCAGCAACAGCAACAGCGAGGAGAACGGCGAAATCGAAAGTGACAAACGAGTTGAGACAACGACGGCGGAGGCAGCAACAACAACAACAACAAGCACTGTGGCAACAACAACATCCACAGGTACACCAGCAACAGGTACGCCAGCCACATCCAACAACAGTTCGACAGAGAGCACAGTCCAGAGTGAGCGCGAAGAAGATCCCTATCATGTGCATATACTGTCCGAGAATCATGATCGCCTGGCCGAACACGAAGATTATCAAATGCTCTCGACCAGCACCGAGGAATCGTCCACTGCAACTACTACCACCAGCACCTCCACCACCACTACAGAGTCGGGAATTGTGGCTGGTATTGTTGTCAGCCAAGAGAACAAGGCAACCGCTGAGCCATCAACTGCAACCGAGTCAACATCCACATCCACATCCACTTCCACGACAACAGCAGCAGCAGCAACTTCAACCACATCGCGAGCACGCGCCATGCATATGAATGAGCCAGAAAATGAAACGGCCACCACAATAATGCCGGACAGCGAGTCGGGGCCAGTGATTAACATTGTTGAAGGACAACACATGCTGCAGCAGGAGCAGGAGGAGGACAAGAAGGAGGAGGAGGAAAAGGTGGTAGTCAAGGAGTTGGAGAGCAGTTCCACCACCGAAGCCTCGACCACCACCACTGAGCCATCGTCATTCGTGGCTTTTGCAGGCGAGGGACGTTCGGCTGGTGGCAACGATGATGTGGAGCTGTTCCTGCATCACAATGCCAGTACACACGAGCAGATCATGGATCTCAGCGATGTCAGCATGGATGGGGATCTGACCGAGAGCAGCACCACCACTACCACCACCACAACCACTGCCCAGCCGGAAACGGAAATGCCCAAAATTGTGGAAATCACCGCCAGCGGAGATACCATGCAGCGCGAGTGTTTGGCCGACAACAAAAGCTACAAGGTTAGTATGCAATCAAATATACAATGGCACAAAGAAATCAATTTAAACGAATTTGATAAAAAGTTTTATGGGAATGTGAGAGAATCCTAAAAACTATTAAGAGTATTTCCTAAAAGCTAAAATAAAGTGAGAGGAACTTATGCTTAGAGCTGTAGACTCAACTATAGTGAGTTCAAATATGGGAAAAGATTCATTTATAAATATCCCTGGAAATTCTTGAATCGCTGATTAGAAAATTTATTAACAAAATAGATATACCCCTTAATGGTGCTCAGTTATGATTCTTCCTCCCAAAATATTCGATCAGTTTTAAAAATGTATTCTTATAACTTTTAAGTGCATTTTTTATAAGAATAAACTGGTCTGGTATTTCTATTTTTATATTTTGCATTCTCCAGATGTGTTATTCAAATGCCTAATCATAAGCATGGCTAATCCATTAATGAGGAAGTTTACTCTGACTTCGATTTTTGAATAATTTCAAGCGTAAACTTTTGACATTTGCTCCGACTGACGTCAATAGTGATCTAAAGATCTGGTTTTTATTTCCTATGCGACTTTATTAATGGCCGAAATAAAAAACGAGTTCGAATCAAAATGCCATGCTTTATGACAGCCAAGATAAAATCAAAATAGAATATATGTCAGACCCTGCCAAGGAGAGAAAGCGGCGGCCAACGCCTCCATTTCCCTGTCGGCCTGCCCACTTCCTGGCACGCAACTCCAATTTGCCTTGTCGTCACCTGGATTGCATAATGGCAACGAGTTTGCTGCTGCTCATAATGAAACCGGTAAGAGTCAGAGTCAGAGTCGAATTCAGACTTCATCCAGCATCCAGTGCAGCTGCCGCTGCACTCCAAAAAAAGCGACGAAAATATTTTTCGGTAAGCTTTTCCCGGCTGCTGTTGCTCGCCCAAGCGGCAATTATGCAAATATTTGCGCACCTTAATATCAATAGAGAAAAAATGTACGAAAAAGGCAAGCCGAGGTGGAAAATTCCAAGAAATTGCTGGGCTGTGATTGATGTTGACATCGCCTCTGCGGCTAAAAATCAACCCAACCCAATCTCGACGCCAATCGCCATTCCTAATTTCCAGTAATCATCATAACAATATGACAATTGCCGGCATTTCAGATAAGTCATCAGACAAATATATATTAGAATGATTTGCTTATCTCTTAGTTAATTAACAGCAATCGCTCACTTTAAATCTCAATAAATTGCTACACGCCTTTGTGCGTCTGTCCGAGTGTGACGTGTTCATCAAACATTGCACTCAGTCTCTCCTACTCTCCTGTCTCGAATAATGGCGCCCAGTCATGTAAGCTCTATATCTTAAGCTGCATCGGGTGTTTATATATACATATATAAAGATATAGATGTGGCTGTAGCGACGCCTGCAGCTGGCACTACTTACTGACCAACCCATTTTCTGCTGCAATGCCTGAATCTTGGTGTTGATTTTGTTTTAATTAAACGGACGTTGGGCTTTTCTTTTTCATACCCTAACTAATAGTGGAGAGTACATTTATTGCCAAAATTTCATTTATATATATTTAAAATTTTAATTCAAATCTAAATGATATATAAAATAAGCATGTGTAAGGTTTAAAGTTTATTAGATTTATATTCATAAAATATTTTATTTTATATTTGCATCATAAACTTTATAGGGCATTCAAGCTTCGTTTCTGCCCTCTCCTCATCTTTTATTAATATCGCTTTTTTTTAATCTTTTAAATTGTTTATGTTGTAGTTTTCATAATCGAGTTTGCGGTCCGCTTCGATATGAAATAATTTTTGCTTTCACTTTTAATGAATTGTTGTCGGTGGCTGATCGGCCCTCCCCCTGCCTCAGTCTCCTCCCTCTTACAAACCTTTTTTTTTATAAATTGCCATCGATTGGCGGACACGTGCAACATGCCAAGCCGCATGCCGCAAATGTTTTTCAAGTGAGTAGCCAAATGGCTAAGAAAACAATCAAATAAATTGCACAGTTTACCAAGTTGTTTTTTTTTTTTTGGTTTTTCTTTTCAGTAGTTTATTGTGCCAAAGTGGGCGGTTTGGGGTGTTTGGCTCACTGTTTTTTATGGCCGCCAAGGCTCGAAAGTTCACAAGAATCGTGCTCATTAGGTGCCATTAAAGGAAAATGGTAGGGAAGGGGAGGGGAGTTATGGTCCCCTGACAGGCGGTCATTAAAATATTGCTGGCCATAACAAAGAGGCGTGAATTCTTACACCTGAGAACCTTATAACCGTCTCGGAAAAACTCTAAGCTAAGCTTTTAGCTGGTGGCTAATTAAAAGAACAAACAGCAGACAAAGGTTATTTTTCCAGTTGAACAAAAGACTCTGGCCACGAACTTGCGTGGGCTCCGTTGGCTCTCATATGACATATCTGGTTATTGGAGCACCACGCAGCGAGCAGGAACTCTCAGAGCTTGATTGCCTTCAGTCAACAAGGCGGATGATTGATGAGCCCCAAGCCACTCACTTGTTTAGTTAACTGTGCAAATTGACGTAATTTCTGCGCAAATAGCTTTCACACAGCGCACAAGAAGGAAATGTATTTTGACAAAAAAACAAAAAGTGGCTCAGTAGGTCGATCTTCGGTCATTACAGATATAAATTTGCGGTTGTTCTTGGTAATCAAATTCACGACTTTTGCTGTAATTTAAGGTTTTTTCGATGTAGTGAAAGTAGCTATTATTTCTTTAAGAAGAATTGAGAAAGGGAAATGTAAAGCATTAAGAGTTTTTCCCTTTTCATTAACGCTAGATTGAGTTTTGTCTATTCAACCAAAAAGAAAAACAATTCGTAATAATATAGGTATTTCCCAATGTCTTGCAGAAGAAAACGATTGGAGGTACATGAGAGAAAAAAGAGAAAATATATATAATATAACGATACAAATATCGTATAAAACCATTCTTAAACTAATTACGATAGATAATATTAATCATAATAAATACTTAGTGTTTTGAAAGCTAGCATAAATCTTAGTATTTAAGACGAAAAAAATCTCTTCTGATTTAATGCGACTTTTATTATCTATAAATCCAAGAACTTTAGCACTAAAGTCTCTATAAAATTCACAGCACGGCGAGTTGATGGAGCGGGAGTGCGACGAAAGGTGCACCTGTAACCGCGGCGACTGGATGTGCGAGCCGAGGTGCAAGGGTCTGAGTTATCCCCGCGGCAGCCAGCGCAGCATGGCCAATCCCAATTGCCGGGAGAAGATCGTGGAGGGAGACGAGTGCTGCAGGGTGATGGAATGCAATGAGCCACTGCTGGAGCCCACAGTGGTGGCCACCGAAGGTGCGGCACCTTCCTCTGAGAAAACAGGAGAAGCTGCTGTGACCCTGCCCACGACCGAAGATGAAGGTGAGTTAGTTTGAGTCTTAGAGGCAGCAGCAGAAGAAGAATTAGCTTTTTGTGGCTTTGCTGTAGTCGTAGCTTGTATTACATACCCAAATCATCCTTGGCCAAGCTTTCTAACATGTGCCGTATTCTTTGTGCCCTCCATAAACATGTCCCATCCACGCTGCTCACGCCCATCGCCATCATTGCCACCACCCACCACATTGCAGCCACGCCAAAGCCGCGCAGTGATTGCCATTATATGGGCGGTGTCTACAAGTTCCGGGAGCGTCTGGAGATCGGGTGTGAACAGATCTGTCACTGTGCCGAGGGAGGTGTCATGGATTGCAGGCCACGTTGCCCCGAGCGCAATCACACGCGTCTGGACAAGTGTGTGTATGTGAAGGATCCAAAGGATGTTTGCTGCCAGCTGGAGCTGTGTGATGTCACCCTGGATGATCATGAACAGCAGCCAACGCCGCTGCAGAATAATAATACCGAAGATTCCGAAGAGCCCAATCCATATGGCTTCCAGGAGCAGGCCCGCGATGCCGGAGGTGCCAAGCCCACTTGCACATTCAAGGGTTCCGAGTACGAAGTTGGACAGCAGTTCCGCGATGGCTGCGATCAGTTGTGCATTTGCAATGAGCAGGGCATTCACTGTGCCAAGCTGGAATGCCCCTCGAACTTTGGCTTGGATGTCCAAGATCCCCACTGCATCCGTTGGGAACCTGTACCAGCGGACTTCAAGCCATCGCCACCGAATTGTTGCCCAGAGAGCATGCGGTGTGTGGACAATGGCACGTGCACCTACCAAGGTGTCCAGATCGAGAACTGGTCGCCAGTGCCCGCCAACTTGACAGGTAAGATCGTGGCTTATTCACCTCCATTCCCATATCCCTCGATCATGGTTTCTTCCATACAGGCTGTGATCAGCATTGCTATTGTGAAAATGGACGAGTCGAGTGCCGGGCCGCTTGTCCGCCAGTGCCAGCTCTTCCTCTAGCAGACTTGCCCTGCCATCCGGCCTTGGCTCGCCTTTTACCCATTCCCGATGATGAGTGCTGCAAGCACTGGTCTTGTGCCCCACAAATACCAAAAATCGGAGCTGCTGGGCAGGAGGAAGAGGAGGAGGGACCATCAACACATTCTTCACTCCCAGCAAATGGTAAATAATCGTGCATGACAGAGTATTCCTTTCTTCTTTGGGGTCTTTGCATGCCTTAACCGAGAAAGTATTTTCATCAAATCGCTTCATTTGTTTAAGCTTTGTCATTGCAAAAATCATTTTCAGTTCGTTTTATTTATTATTATTATTAGTTCGTTTAGTTTATTTAATTGATTTATTGCGCTTTTGCTGGCTGTCTTATCTGAGCTCTCTACTGCCATTTTTATCGCGCTGACATGCTATTAAATTTCGTTTTACTTTATTTTTTATTTTCTACGCTCATCACAACCAATTTCAATATTGTTATTCACGCTATGCATTTTGTAAATAATCAAACTACAACAACAACCAACCAACCAACCAACCATTCAACATGCAACCGATAACAGAAACAACAACAACGACAGCAACAGCAAATATATCGACCAACATACCTAGCAAAGTGCCCCAAACCAAGAAGGATGAGGATAAGAAGGCCTCACCAAGTGGCGCCTTCTATCCGACTTTGGATGGCAAGCCACCCAAGTCGATAGGCGGACTGGGAATCTTTGAGAAGCCCGAGAAACCCGAAAAGAACCACAAGAAGGTGCAACATCAGCAGCAGCAGCAACACCAGCAACATCATCAACAGGAGCAGCAGCAACACCAGAATGATGTTATTTTCGATGGTGATCGCACCGAAGAGCAGGAAGGTCCCTTACTTCCGAATGGTGGATTTGTGCCCTTCCAATTTGGCCACCGGCATCCACATCAGCAACATCTGGGACCCTATGGCATCTACAATCCCATCAAGCCAGTCTACGAAGACTACAATCCCTATGAACCCTACGATATCAATCCAAATGGCACACCACAGGGCAAACCGCCACCAGTACCCACTAGTCAGTCCGATTTGTTCAATATATTGGGTGCTGATCAACCAGGCCAACATGGCCACCCTGTTCACCCTGGGCCTCCGCTTCATCCTGGCCAAACTCAAAAAGACAATCACAACTTGGGGCCACAAGTTAGAATCGAACAGATACTCCAGCACCTACAGCAAACCGTTCCAGGTGGACCACCACCACCTCCCCATCAGCAGCATCAATCACTGTCACCGCAGCAACATCCCCAGCAGCAGCAGCAACAAGTACAGCAGCAACATCCGGGTCATTATGTGCCCATTGTGCACAGTGGAGTGCCGCCGCCGCCACCAGGACATGGCATTGCCATCGTTGACGGACAAACTGTGGCCTACGAAAGTTATCCGGTAATCCCGGGATTGGGTGTACCACCTCATCATGCGCAGCCACATCAGACTACCCCGCAGCAACACCTGCAGCAGACAGTCCTGCCCAGTTCGAGCACCACTTCGGGTCTTTCCACGCAGGCCAGTGAGCACAGTCTGCACCAGAATCAGGACAAGTTGGCCAAGCAACAGCAGTCAGGTTGAACAAACTATTCTAGTCACCACACCCCTTAGATCTCCTCTACTCTGCTCAGCTCTTCAGCAACAACAGAAACACTCCAACAGGGTTCTACTGTACTAACTGAGACAACACCAACCACAACAAAAAAACAAACAACAGACACTCCCCTACACACATAGCTACACCACAAATCACCTACACATCCATTTAGCACGAAAGATCATTCATCATTAACTTGCTTGCAGCTAATCCGCAACTCAAGCGATTTCCAAACGTATCTCGTTAATTAATATCCGGGCTAAAAATACTAACTTAAACTTTAAATTTAAGTCAGAGATGAGTAAAAAATGATCACCGTGGGAAGAGATTACCAAGTTATAAAGTTATTTTATTAGGGACTAGTTGCAAAACCTTAAAGACTCAAATCAAATAACTCAATGAAAGTATAAATTAAATGTCTAATAAAATCAGCATCCTAAAATTATGAAAAATTATTAACAGCACCAAAATTTTTGTAAACTTTAAGCGCGTTTGGTTACTCCAACATTAATTTACAGTATATGTCCTATGGAGAATGTGATCCCTAATATTGCTCATCTCTTATTTAATTTCTATTTAAGCATTAAATTTAACTTAAATCTTTTCTTTTTTTCAAACTTAGGACCCAGTAGTGCACAGCCCGACATCGAAGTTCACACTCTGGAGGCCATCGATCCCCGAACCATCCGCATTGTCTTCACCGTACCCCAGGTCTACGTGGGGCTTCATGGACGCGTAGAGCTGCGGTACTCCAATGGACCCAGCAACGATACCGCTACATGGGAACAGCAGATATTTGCACCACCAGAGGACCTTATTGCCACTTCTCAGATGGAGTTCGATTTGCCCAGTCTTGAACCAAACTCACTGTACAAGGTGAAGATAACTCTGATCCTGCGCGATCTCAACATGCAGCCCACAAGCAGTGTTTACACAGTGAAGACACCACCTGAGAGAACTATTACCCCCCCACCGCCATTCACGGATTACAGACCAGACTTCCAGGACATCTTCAAGAATGTTGAGGATCCCGAACTGACGGTCAGTGAAACGAATGCCAGCTGGTTGCAGTTGACGTGGAAGAAACTGGGTGACGATCAGATGGAATACGTTGATGGAGTCCAGCTGCGCTACAAGGAACTGACCGGGCATGATCTACTCTTCATCGCCGCTGATTCATAGGACATTGACCAGCTATACCATCCAGAACCTTCAGCCAGACACTGGCTACGAGATTGGTCTCTACTACATTCCTTTGGCCGGACATGGAGCAGAACTACGTGCCGGTCACATGATCAAGGTGCGAACTGCCCAGAAGGTTGATGTGTATGGCTTTGATGTGACCGTTAACGTGACTAAGGTGAAGACCCAGAGTGTGGAGATCTCATGGAATGGAGTACCCTATCCGGAGGACAAGTTCGTCCACATTTACCGGGCCATCTATCAGAGCGACGCTGGTAAGGAGGACTCTAGTGTATTCAAGGTGGCCAAGCGGGACAGCACCACTGGTACCCTGATCATGGATCTCAAACCAGGTACCAAGTACCGCCTCTGGCTGGAGATGTACCTGACCAACGGGAACACCAAGAAGAGCAACGTGGTCAACTTCATCACGAAGCCAGGTGGTCCAGCCACCCCAGGAAAGACTGGTAAGTCGAGAGATATTACTCTAAATTGGCTAAATGGGAATATAAGTAACTCTTTTTCAAGTCTTGCAATTTTTCGAGAGTGTTTTGAAGGGATTTAAATTATTTGGTGAGATAAAAGAACAACATTTTTCTTGTCTCTTTTAAACTTTATCAGTTGGATTTCCAATTAGCTAGCTTAAATTAAAATTTCATTCAAATTTTTAATTTTAGTATTTAAAATTCTCAAATAATATATCACTAAGGATATTTAAATTTCAAATTTTAATTTAAATATTTATCTTTAAAGCCTTTTTTTATGAATATTATATAGTAAACAAACTAACTCAAATGGTTTCGTTTTAGGCAAACTCCTAACCGCGGGAACGGATCAGCCCGTGGGCGATTACTACGGCCCCCTGGTGGTCGTTTCCGTGATCGCTGCCTTGGCGATTATGTCAACCCTGGCCCTTCTGCTGATCATCACCAGGAGACGAGTTCACCAAACGGCGTCCATAACGCCACCACGAAAGAGCGACGCTGCCTACGACAATCCCTCATACAAGGTGGAGATTCAACAGGAGACTATGAGTGAGTTAAACCGAAGATCCTAACAAGGTTTTTAAATCTAATATTAAATTACATAATTTCAGATCTGTAACTTACTAACGATGCCCTCCAAACAACTAGTTTAAAAACAGATTCTTGTAAATATTGAAGGAAATAGAAATTGAAGGAAAACTCAGTGTCAGTAAAAAAGTATAAGTAAAAAAAACTGAATCAATCAGATTAAATTCTGATAGAGAGTAAGCAATTTAAATAGGCCGGCGCAAGATCAAAAGTTTTGTTCAATTCGAAATGGCCGCCATGTTGTATGTAGTGGTTAAGTAATCTAAAAACACACTTCTTTTGTTAAACAATTTGTGACTTGTGTAAATAGAGAGAGAGTGAGACACCCTATGGAAGAACTAATTGAAAGAAAAGCCTCAACAACTTAAAAATTGGCCTCGCTGGGCGCATCGATTCTTCTAGCTATTTCGAAATGCATACGAGTTTAGTTAGTTTAACTTGTAAATTTTAGCTTTACACTTATCGTAATTAAAGGACGCATCGTTATTAGCAGAACCAACAACATCACCAATGTTCAGCTTAATGATGCGTTCTTCAAATTAACAGTCCATAAATATTTAAATTAGCTTGTAATACGTACAGAGATACTATATGCATATGTATGATGTGTATTAATAAATAAAGAAAAAATAATAAAACCTTTAATTTTTATAATTTGAGTTTCTTCGCCATTAAAATTGGATCTATATTTTAAATTATGGGCATGAAGGCAGTCCAAATAGTGACGAGACGAACGTATAGTTTGCTAAAGGCGAATGTATCTATACGGTTATATATATAGCTACGTGTTTGATAGAAAAAATTATATCACCCAGTGTTTTGATTAGATAAAATATCAATGAAATTAAATAAGGAGAATGGTACCACCACAGCAATTCAAAAGTCAAAACTTTTGCCAGCTATTAAAACCATTTATGACGGTAAAGATAAAAAATTGTTTTCTAAGTTAGGAATTAAAACTAGAAAGTAATTGAAAAAATATATTGTATTTGGTACGAATTTGGAATCGTTATGGGTTAAACTTCCATTCCTGAATATGGAATATTTTAAAACAATACAGAATTTTACAGAATTTTAGCTTTGACGTAATCAAGTAGAAGAACTTGAAACTTGATTTACAGTTCCTCGTTTCAGCACAAGAAAAAAATTATCTTTACCCAGACGTCATAGTCTTAATTAATAAATTGATTAATATTAAAAGCAATACACCACACTTTTAATAAAAAAATATTTATTATCCATTTTATACGTTTTCTTTTATAATTTTTTGTGTCGACTTCAATGACATTCTTACAACATTAACTGATAATTCCTTGAAGACTTTTTTGCCCAAAATGTAGTTTTAGTTTCGGCGTTGCTTTCCATTTCCATTTTATTTTATTTAATTTGTTTGTTTTGTTTGCTTGCAGCACCAACAATATCGATATCTATATAATTTATAGATGTATATACAAATGCACAACTAGATTTCGCTTTTCAGAATTCAAAATTCAAATTTTTCGTACTCTAATGCCACACTAAATGCTAAATTTCTGATTTACTTGTATGTGTAATTATAATCGAAGTTATTGTAGAGCAAAGGGGAAAAAATATTTAAATATCTTTTCGCATTTGGCGTGAACAAATCTTTGAGTTTGCGTCTCATTAAATTATTGTACAATTAAGATTTAAGTAGATTGTTTTTTGGGTTTCCTTGTGTAAATTTACATCTTTTGCTTGGTTTTGTTTTTTGTTTGTTTTGTATACTTTACTTGTTGTATTATTTTTAAAAGTAATCACTGTTTAGCCTCCGTTCTTTGACATTAAGTTGGTTGTGTTGCTTGTTTGTTTTGGGCAAGGCAGGAGCAGGACTTGCCGGACTCGGGATAAGTGACTTATTACTTGGTGCTGGTGCTGATGCTAGCAGCGGTCTCGCTGTTGCTGCACTGCTCGATGACGCTGTTTCCTTCGGCTTCGCTACTGGTGGTGGTGGATGAGCTGCTGTCGTCCTCATCCTCGTCTGCCCCATCCTCATCCTCGTCTTCATCTTCTTCGTCCTCCTCATCATCTTCATATACAATTTCGTTCTCGATCAATCGCATGTCCATGTCCATGCTGTCGAAGGAGTCGGTTATGACACTGTCATCATCAGTCGTTGTCTCGTCCTCTTGTCCAGACGTATCGTTATCCAGGTCCAGTTCATCATCGCCCTGGCCATGTTGCTGTGGCGACGAGCCTTCGCTGCCCGTATCAATGCGCATTTCCTGCATTAGCTCCTTGATCAGCTCAGTCTCAATCTCGGTGACACCCAGGCCCAGATGCTGCTTGGTCACGTCCATCAGCACGTTCTTGAGGTTGCGGGCCAAAAGGCGCATGTGCTCATCGCTACAAGCGCTCGGACTGGTCACATAACGGATGTAGTCCTCCAAATAGTAGTTGTTGAAGCTATCACGACTAGGCTCTCCACTGGCGAACTGCTGGTGGGACAGCAGCAACTGGTTGATCAACCAGTTCCGACCGCCCTTTAACACCTCGATGGCATCTCGAACGCATTGGCGGCCCAGCTCGAAATTGCGGTACAGCGGGTAGGTGATCATCCGCCTCATAAAGGCCACCAGGACATCTCGGTAGTTATCGAACTGCTCATAGTAGCAGTACAACGGGCAGAGAATACTTCGCGTCCAACCCGATTCACATGTCGGATCATTGTTGGTCGTCCGCACATCATAGCATATGGCCAGCAGAATGCTGATCAGACCGCAATCGATCTCGTTCTGTCGCAGGATGTCGCTTGGCTGCTGCTCGAGTGACTTTTCCCGGCTGATGTTGTGTAAAAGATGTGCCTGCTCTTGGGTCATGGAAGTCTCGTAGATTTTCGGCTTATAGCGCAAAGGATTCTGGTGACCGGACGGAACCTGTAGCTCCACAAAGTTCATTTTGTACTGTTCACGTGAGAAGCGCTTCATTTCGTCGACCACGCGCTCCTGTCGCCTTTGGATAGGGCTTATTCGATGCGGATCGGAAATGCGGCACACGGCCTTGTCCAGCTGGGGAAACATCTGTGTTAGTTTATCGGAAAGGGGGAGTGGAAAGCAATAAGCTCACCTCAGTCGTGTCCGGCGGACCGCTGTATTGGCTGGCGTAACCGTAACCAAAGTTGTTGGTCAGCTTGTACGTACGCTCTTGGCTGTCGAGCTGTATTTGGCACTGATCGGTGATACGTTTGAGTTTCCATTCCTGCACCAGGGGCTCTTTGTTTGGCAAATGGGTCCTTGTGGCATCGGCCAGCGTGGGCAGGTGCAGAAAGGTGGCAATGTAATCCTTGCGTCCACTCTTCGGTTTAGGTGCATCACCCGAGCCACCACCTCCTCCTCTTTCGCCACCTGATCCTTCCTGGGATCCCGCTGTAAGGGGCAGACAGCGCAGGCAGATCTGGTATTGGTTTAACGCTGTGTTGTACTTTATCAGCAGCGTCTTCAGTTCCCGCAGATCGAAAGTGCGGCGGCTGTGGAATCTGTGTGCGAAAAGGAAATGAAATGCGGAACGATATCGATGGAATTTTGCAAGTGTGGGCGTGCCAGATTGGACGCAGTGACTCACTTGAAAAGCTTGACGTCTGCATAAAAGTAAAGATCGTGCGCGTCGAGGAATATATCGCAGTTTCTTATACGATCCACATGCAACGCGTCCGTCCCTCCCGCTCCTGACAGCCCCGACTCAGCCCCTTGGCCATGCTCCTCGCCAGCGGAAGAAGAAGCAGCAGCAGCTGCTGCTGGCTGAGGCGACGATTTTAAGGACTGACTCGCTACAGGAGGGCGGGGGATCAGCAGCGTGCACGTGTTCTCCAGATAACTGTGTGCAATCTGTCCATTCAACATCTTATAATTTTATTACGTTTCTGCTGAATCTGCTAACTACTGTTTTTTAGTATAATTTTATTTATTTTAATGACCAGTATGACCGCCTACTCGAAACAAAAAAATCAGTCGCCTAAGGCGACTTGCCAGCCATCAAGCTTACGTTATGCTACGTTACGTTCTGGTGTGCTAGTTTGGCTAGATTCCAGACAAATTTAGATAGTCTGAAGAGGGTTATTCTAGGCAATTTTTTCTACCACAGTAATGTTATCAGTAAATTAGACTTCTTACAAATGAAAATAAAAAAGGTATATTTGGTTTGGATTGTATGCTTTTTTGGCTTAATCGTTAAATATAGTTTTTACAAACTATTTACCACAATGCATTAACTCAATGGTTCGTTAATATTAATTATACTTAAAATAAAACCATAAAATGAACATATAAAAATCGTATCAAGCTTAAAAAACTTACACATGCAGCTATACATACAATATTTTATTTAACGTGTTTTCAACCATTTTGTGGTATAAAACTGTTAACTATATATGCATGCATATTCATTTGTACTAAATACAATCTTAATATCCCGATGATGTTTTTAAAACATGTTGTTTAAACATAATTAGAAGTATAACATCAAGTTCCTTCCAATAATTATTTCCTCTTACGTTGTGCAATCGATATTACTCCACTTTACTTTGAAAATCGGAATCGATAACCCGCGATTAGCCATATTGCTGAGGCGTTAGGATATTACTCATACGTCCGCTTCACTTGCCAGTCGCCATTATCGATTTGTGGCAGAGGAAAAATAGAGAATTAAAAAATCGCGTTTCAGCGTTAGGCACCGGTTAGAGAGCGCATTAAACGCGGCGTTAAATTGTTCAGTGCTTGTGACGTAGGAACTTCAAAATCAGTACCGTTTTATTTTTCGTGGAGCTCGCGTAGAAGAATTTTCCCGTTGGAAATATTCTCAATCAATCAATACCACTCTCTCTCTCGCTCGCCCTATACGTGTTTGTGTGCGTCTCTCTCTTTCTCCGTGTATCTGCGTGTGTTTGTGTGTGTGTCGGTGTGGTCTGCTCCTTGGGTGCATAATTAAATTAATCAAGTAAATAAAAGCCATCGAACGGGAGCAGGAACAACAACAACAGCTTCATCATGACCATGGCAGGGCAAACGATCAACGACAGGCTGCTGGCCGCCCGTCACAGCCTTGCAGGCCAAGGACTCGCCAAGTCCGTTTGCAAGGCCACCACGGAGGAATGCATTGGCCCGAAGAAGAAGCACTTGGACTGTGAGTCTCCCCCAATATCTTGCTCTCTCTCTCTCTCTCTCTCTCTCGCACACTCTCTCTCTCGTTGCGTAAAATCACCGTTACATTTCCTAGTTAACACACGGAGAAAAAATCCTATAGCCTTGATACGTAGATCAGGGAAAAATTGTCAACCTCAATTTTAAAAATGTTACAGAAGTATTCATAGAATATTGTATTCCGAGGTCTCAGGGGAACACCCAAACAAAAACTAATTTTTATCAAGAGAAGTAGTTAAGGTGCCTTCTGGCTTTTATAATTTGATAAAACAATGCATGTTTATAGGAAAACGTAAAAAAATTCATATATTTACAATGGAATAAAATATTTAATCACTTTTGAAAATATTGTTAACATTATCAACGAATATATTGACTTTTGATGGGAGGTTACTGATTATAAATAGAGCTTTTAAATATATAAATTTCTCTAACTACCTTTGTTTGTGATGTGGGTCCTTTCCCCTTGGAAAAAGGAATAAAAATGAATAATAAACAATCACAAATATTTTGAATATTACAAATATATTTTAAAAAGTTGGGGTTTTTTGTCATCTACGATGTTATCTAACCGTTTCTCTCTGTGCATACACAATTACAACCGTTAGTACTGTCTGCAAAAGTTAAACAAATACCCATTCAGTTACAACCAGTTCGAGTTGCTTGGCTTTCCTATTCCATCTTCACGTGGTTTTTGTTTTTGTGTGATAAATCGCAAAGTTTTCCGAAAACGAAGCCACCGATTACGGTCCACAGTGCTCCACCACCCACAATTGCACCTGTGCCTCAGCTGCTGCTGTTTGTGGACTGTGTTCGTCATTGTTTCCACTGCCATCCTCTTTTTCTATCCAACGCTCTTTGCGCGCTCTCTCTTTCTCTCTCTAATGTTACGTCACTTTCCCACGGGTGCACGTGTGTTTGTTGGGGCTTTGAATGGCTTAAAACACCTACGAAAGAAGCGATTGTTGTTGTTGCAGTGTCATTGCTTGCTAAATTTATGCCCAACTGTTTTCCCTAATTCGCTGGATTTTGCTTAGACCTTTACATTTCGCATAAACAAGTTCTAATGAGACCAATATCTTGATGACATTCCTGTTGGAATCTGGTTTTTTTTGGCTAGCTTTGCTCGCATGGTGACCCCCTTTTAGTTTGCTGGTTTGCAAAACTTTTCTGAGATGAGTCATCATTTATGGGTACGAGCAAAGGGAATAAAAGAGGGCATTACCATGGGACGTTACTTGCCACATAAACATTGTATTTCATTTGCCGCAATCCAACTTCCAAAGATTTGGCATGTGTCAAGCACTAAAAATAAACGAGTTCTCATTTTGTGGCCACATACACTATATTTGAGTTTTATTTTTTAAAGTATTTAAAGTACAATAATCAATTAGTTTTAGAACACTAACCAGATTAAACCGGGTCTCTGGTCTGGAGCTGTGCCCTTTACTTGATATACAACAGGTAAAGGGCTCCATCATAAAATGTATTTGTTTTACCTATTTTCTTTATTTTCTTTTCTTAACAACTTTCGTCTTAAAATAAAACCAGTTGGGTATTCACGGAAACACAACGAAACCTTAAGAACCAGAAACCAGCCCAAAAGACCCGGGATTATTTCAACCAACACAAGTGGGCAATTATTATTAAAAAAGTATCAATGGGATGCCCATTTTGTCTACAGTGGAGTTGTTTATTTACTGACACATTCCCTTTGTATATTTATTGTGTATTTGTTGAGGAATATTGGCACAAACAAAAGTGAAAATTGAGATACTGAAGCTAAAATATGAATAATTTCGTTAGCTAGAAAATCATAAACTAACAATTTGAATATTTTAATAATGAAACATGCAGCATTCAAGTAAGAAATCTTTTAGATCTCTTAAAAATTAAAAAAAAAAACGATTATAATTTGGTTAGTCATTAAAGGGTTCAAATTTCAATTATGATTCGAAACAGCTGGCTACAAAAAACAAAAAGTTTATAATGAGATGTATAACATACATAGACATTGAGCATTAGAAATGAGTAATTTCAAACAATTATGATCAATATATATGAAAAAGTAAGTGTAAAAGTTAAACGCTTACACAATATCAATGGGACGACCACTGTATTTGTTCACAAATTCATGAGCTTGTTCACAAGGGCCAATCAATTTTCCACATTTAGTGTTTATTGAAATTTGTATTTATTTATGAACGAGTCGAGTATATATGTATGAGTGAATCACTGGTCTGGCGCCCATCAGCTCCTCCAAACAAAGTGAAGCGAAAGGCCGGAGAACATATGCTTTGGCATGTGCAACGCCCCACAAATGATATGCAATTATTCCGTTCTGCGACAAACATTTCCCAACTGAAATGGAAATTGATTCGAATGGAACCGCAAGATTGTAGACACATTGAGTTCAAGCGCTTATCATCAACACTTTTCCGTCTCTAACTGATTTGGCTTCAGTCTTTTAGCTTTAAAGGCGTCTGTTATGAAAAAAGCAAAGATAAGCCAACAACAACTAAGAGCAGCGACCGATAATAGCCCGCTAAAAACAAGATGATTAAATTTATTGAAGGATCGGTTTACAGCTGGGGCTGCCTTTACAATTTCTTTTTCTAAGGGAAATAATTGCACCGACAAGTTAGTTTTAAAAACGAATAAGACAGTAATTTTCAATCGCTTATCAAACATTTGGAGTTACTAACAGTTTTCGAGTTGATGCACACTTAAGTAAAACTTAAATGTTCTATATTTCCCATATATACTTAAATTGATAAGTAGACAAATATTTGCAAGAGACCTTATAATGATTGATAATAGGCTTTGAAATTTTAAAACATTATTTAAACGGATTTAAGGATTCTTTATGTTGTTTTTTGATTTGGGTGATTCCTATTTTTATACCAGAGACTGTATAATAAATGTTCATTATTTGTGATTGGTGTTGAATTAATATACCTTTGTTCTCTTGCAGATTTGGTGCATTGCACAAACGAGCCGAATGTGTCGATACCTCATCTGGCCAATTTACTTATCGAGCGTTCCCAGAACGCCAACTGGGTTGTCGTCTACAAGTCGCTGATAACCACACATCATCTGATGGCATATGGCAATGAGGTTTGTATTTTGTACACATTTATCTGTATCTGCTGTTTGCGAGAAGCTTAGGGGCGTATAACATTCTTGTCGATATTTTATTTTCATTTTTACTTTCATTGAAGCGTTCGTAATGAGGTAATCTGTTTTGATTATATTAATATATAGAGAATGTGGGCAGTGTCCATAGAAAAGGTCACGTACGTTCTGAGGTTCTTGTTATTTGTTTTCTTTTGATGACTCTTTAATGTTAAATAATTACTTAAGCATCACGCTTTGCGGATGCCCTTTCACCGAGCTTATTGTCGTTTTGTTCTTTTTTTTCTGCATTTGCCTCGTCCATTTCTTGGATTTTTATTTGACGACATAATAAGGTTAGAGAGGCATGAATGAAGGAAAATTAATTGTCCTTAAATAAAAGGATAGTTAGGGTTAATTTCGAGATTAATTTCTTTAATTAGTAGGCTTTTCAAAGTTCTTAAATATATGAGTAATTCAATGTCCGATAAGCTGTTAAAAGTAGTATATTTAAAAGTACATCAAAATTTCTCTAATTTAAAGCATAAAAAAGGTGGCTATAAAAATAACATTTTTGAGGCTGAACAAAGACTGTTCCTTATATCCTATTTGCATTTAACTACTAAAATACCACTACTACTAATACTAAAAGATTCAGTTCTATTTCATACATTTTATATGAATTTAAAAAATTTTTCCTGAATTTTTCCAGCGTTTTATGCAATACCTGGCCTCAAGCAATTCTACATTCAATCTCAGCTCTTTTCTGGACAAAGGAACTGTTCAAGGTATAACGAAACATCCCTTTCCTAAAATCCACTTAAATTGTTTCATACGCATACATAATTTGATCAAGTTATAAATTTGAAAATTATTAACTAATGCTTACATTCTGATCATTCCTCTCTCATTCTCTCTTCTCATGCGAATGCTGCGTGATCGTTTGGCTTGTACTTTTATTAAATTAACCATTAACAATAATTTCTAAACAAAAATTATTAATACCGAAATGCGCCGCTTACTGACCCACATACTCTAAACCAAACAAAAACACAAACCGCTGGCTAACAACAACATGAAAAATGCAATTATCCAAACTAAATACTCAAAATCAAACAATATAAACCTTATACAGATGGTGGCATGGGCGTTCCAGGTGGCAGAATGGGTGAGTATTATGCAGAAGCTATTAGCTAGCCATTGGCTGAAACTTTTCCTTTATCGGGCTATAGACGTTGTTTTTCTTTCCTGGTTGTTACTAAAATTTGTTTTAGTTATGAATAAAATCAAAATTAACTAACCCAAAGACTATTATTGTTTTAAGTTTCTTATTTGGCATTGCCTAAAACGTGTGTGTGTCCTCAACTAATGTTAAAGAGTATCTATTAATACTTTAACAATCAACAGGTTACGATATGTCGCCCTTCATTCGGCGCTATGCCAAGTATTTGAATGAGAAGTCGCTCTCCTATCGGGCCATGGCCTTTGACTTTTGCAAAGTCAAGCGAGGGTAAGTAATGCCACATCGTATTTAGTTCTATTTTAATAGATTTGTTTTCCAATCTATCATATTAGCAAAGAGGAGGGCTCGCTGCGCAGCATGAACGCGGAAAAACTTCTGAAGACTTTGCCAGTTTTGCAGGCACAATTGGATGCGCTTCTGGAGTTTGACTGCCAATCCAACGATTTGTCCAATGGTGTGTTTATACATCTATTGTTTTTTGTTTTAATATTTAATATAAAATTTATCTTTTTCAGGCGTCATTAATATGAGTTTTATGCTCTTATTCCGAGATCTCATACGTTTGTTTGCTTGTTACAATGATGGCATCATTAATTTGCTTGAGAAGTATTTCGATATGAACAAGAAACATGCGCGGGATGCCTTGGATCTTTACAAGAAGTTCTTGGTGCGCATGGATCGCGTTGGGGAGTTCTTAAAAGTGGCTGAGGTTAGTAACTCCTATCAGGAAAAATTCTTGAAGTTATATTAATTTGTTCATTTTCTTCTTTTAGAATGTGGGCATAGACAAGGGAGATATTCCCGATTTGACCAAGGCGCCCAGCTCGTTGCTAGATGCTTTGGAACAGCACTTGGCCACGCTGGAGGGCCGAAAGGTATCCGCTGCTAATACGCCCACACAGTCATCGAGGTGTGTTGATCTGGTCTAAGAGTTCATAGCGTAGAATATCACTTAGTTTTTAGTTTTTAAACTTCTTTAATTTGACGATAAGAATCTCAGTACTAAAATTGAATGAATTCATGACCGAGAGCCAAGTAAACTTACGATTATTTAAGCAGTAGATGCTCGCTAGATGAAAGTCAGATTATATAAGTATTACCATATGCTGGATTGTGTTAGCTTTTTATTAGTTTACAGTTTGCTAGATGATCTTCATGTTGTCTGTGCCAGCAGCTTAAAAGTCTACTTTAATGGATCCTGGTCTATAATTTTCATAAAGACGTAACTTTAAAGGTCAAATTACGGATTAAAAGACATCATTTTTACCTAGATAATATTATATACATATACGTTACGTACGTAAATATATATATGTTTTTGTTATAAAATGATGCAGCAGAAACTGTGATAGAGATTTCCTTTTTATTTCCGATTGTTTGATTGTAAAATTTCTATAATTACATATTATTTACCTAACATTACATTGTTTCCTAAGTTATAAATATTTTTAGTTTTATTTTTGACATTATTCATTTATTTCTTTTTTTCTATGATTTTCCTTCGTTGTTAACTTGCACCTGTTTTCGATGCCTGGCAATCATTAGCAATCAACGCAATGTTAAATCCGCTGTCACTGCACTCTCTTCAACCAGCTCGGCATTTGGAACTGCGGCTGCATCCAGCAAGTTTGATAACACCAATGGCATTGACGAGCAGCTAAAGGCCCAGGTGCTGGCCGAGGAGGAGGCCGCCATGAACCAGTACAAGGTGAATTAATTAGTTATTATTACTATTAGAGTCGATGTTTAATCGATTTATCTGCCTGTTCCTTTCCTAGTCCAAGGTATCTTCGCCCACCAGCAGCGGTGCTGCTGGCGCTAGCGCTGCACTAACAAATCCATTTCTATCGTCGCCGCCAGCCGCACAGGCTGGCCAGCCGATAGTTGATCTGTTCGGTGCCGCGTCGGCGCAGCCCGCTGCTGCTGCAGCAGCCACCAAGGCCTCCGACGATCTGCTGCAGTTGGGCAATCCATTCGCCGATATGTTTGACGCCAGCGGCGGCGGCGGCGGAGCATCCGCCCCAGGAGCCACAGGTGCTGCACTCAATGCCAATAATTTGTGGATGCATAATAATGGTAGCATGTTATAATTTTCTTATTATTTCGTCCTAAGTTCTTGACTAGCTTTTATCATTTGAGTTATGTTAATTTCGTGCTGTACATAGGTAACAGTCGGTGTGTAAGTGTAGTGATCTTATATTGTCGTAACCGTAAAGAAAAAAGAATCAGAGCTATGAGGAGCGCACTTTTCCGGCGCCCTAGACGCCCCTCACCCTCTCTCTTTCTCTCTTTATCACTCTTATCCGTCCGGCCTAGCCGTCTGCTTGCACAAGACTTTCATGCACCATTATCCATACTTGTAATCATAATGATATACTTTTGTTATATATATATTTAATTATTTACCTTAATTGTTTCTGTAAGTTTTTTAATTTCTTTTGAATTCTTGTCTAATGTATTGTTACTCTTTATTTTTTCATCACTGTTTTTTTCCAACCCGAAACAAATAATGACAACAACTTCAACAATGATAACGATACCGAAAATACCAACTCCTCGAAAACCAAAAACAAAAAACCAAACCAATCGCTAATCTTCCAAAACACGCCAACGACCATCGCCCACCGTCCACCGCCCACACAACACCCAACAAAACTGAATACAAAACCACCAAAAAAATATGAAAAAAAAACAAACATAGGTTTCAATGGCGCTTCAGTTTCCTCCGCTGCTGCAACAAACGCATTCGTTTCCGATAGTAATTTCTCATCCGTTTTTGGTAATACGGAACCGGCAGGTAAGTTCCTCAATGGCCCACAGTCTTCATTCATTCCTTTAACTGCAAGCTACAATCTAATGATAAGAATATATATCTCAATATGCAGTCACTAACAAAACGCTTATTTATTACTAACTATTCAAAATTAAGTGAAAATCGAAGCAGATTAAGTTTACTAATTATAGCAATGCTAATCATAACCTCTAACGTTGCTGTGTTTATAAAGTAATAATATAAATGTTAGCATGTTATATTAATAAGCCCACTTTGCAGTTATTTGTTAAACAGGCTAGGAAACGTTTTGTATTTTTAATATAGGATCTTTAAAATCCAGCATTATGCGTGAAGAAGTTAGAATTCGTTTTCTCTACCCTTCCTCATTCCTCAATGTTAGTTTGTTAATAATATTTGATTAATAATTATAATTTTTTTTAATATTTATTTTAATTGTTATCCTGTAAATGTTTGCGTTGAATTTCACACAGCTTCGACGTCGTTGCCAAATCCATTTTTCGATGATATGTCGTTGCCACAAGGCCCACTCGCTTCTGCATCTGTTGCTGCGCCCTTTGGCAACAATATCAATTTCATGGATCAGCAGCTGCAGCAACAACAACAATCGGCATTATATGTGCAGCAGCAGCAGCAGCAGTTTGAACTACAACAGCAGCAACACCGACAGCAATTGGCGCAACAGCAAACGATGTTGCCACCTTCCATGCCAGCAGCTCAGTTTCCATCAGGTGAACCTTAGCCGTTCCTCGACGAAAACCAAAATCCAAAAACCATTTCAACCACAAGCATAAAGTCCCTCCGCGTGCTTTGTTTTTGTACAAAGCTTGTGCTCTATCACTAGCTTGTAGTGATTCAGCAGACACTGAACTTTCGCTCAGCATATCTACCGAGATCCTCCTCCGAGCTTTGTCCTGTGCCACAGATGCTCATCCACACAGAACACGCTTTGCCCACTGTTGTCTGCTCGTGTCTTTAAGCTATTTTGTCCATCTTAACTGTCGTAATCGATTTGGAGTCGTCCTGTGTTTTCGACAAGAAAGCTGCGTTGTTGTCCTTTTGCATAAGTATTTTGTTTTAGTTTTCAGCTTTTTCGTTTTTAAAATATATCTAACTTATTAGTTTTTGTGTATGTTCAATGTGCTAACTGTAATTGTGTGATAATTGAATTATAAAATTATTTTGTGTGTGATAATTCAAATTTAAGATTTTATGTAATTAGGAGAAGTTAGCTTAAAGTCAGATTCTCCTTTTGCTTTTTGAGGCAGAACTTTCTGAGGCCTTCCTTTCTATAATATCCTTGTATTGTCTCTAAAACTAATATTTTACCTAATATACACTTAACAAACTGCAAAAATATCATTAACATAAAAATATTCTGCTTTGGGTTGCTTTTGTAAATAATCTTAACATCTGTCATGTGTTTGTAGATAAGAACTTAATCTTAATCCTAAGTCGAAGATCATTAGATATCGAAGAATCCCATATATTTATATATATACGATGCAAATTCATGTTATTTATTTTGTAAATGTTATTTTTTCTCTTTTTCTCTCTCTTATGTTCTTATGTACTGAACGTAAAAAAAAAAAAAAAAAATATCAAAACTAAAAACAACCTCACATTGTCTCATGTTAATGTTGGTGGCACAAATCCATATCCGAACACTTAAAATCTCTATGAAACGCTAAAAAATATTTGTGTGTTTTATAATTACGCTGGCAAAATGAAAAAAAAAAAAAAAAAAAAACAATTTAAAAATATCAAATTTCGACGGTAAACAAACTCAACGCTAACTCAACAAACATCAAAAACAAATCCTTTGGGCTCATCGGCTTCATTGTCTATGCATATCTACTATATATATATATATATACATATACCAAATGTGTTTGTCTCTGTGTATAAATGTCTGCTAAAAAACGGTGCATTGGCTTTGGGTATCCCACGAAAAAAATAAACCAACCATATCGTGTGAAATGTATAAACTAAACGTATCAAAGGCTTCGATGCCTTGGGCGATGTCCTGAAGCCGGCCTCAGCCAGCAACAGCAACAGCAACAACAGCAATCAAATGAACGTTGTCGCCACAGGTTACTCCAGCAATAGCAGCTCGATCCTGGCGTTACAACAGCAGCAGCACCACCAGCAACATCAGCAGCAACTGCACCAGCACCAGCAGCAACAGCAGCAGCCACCGGCTGGCACTGGGAAGATAATTACCGGCGACTTGGATAGTTCACTAATGTCACTAGTTGATAACTTAAATATAAACAAAACGGCAAGTGCAAAGTGAGTAAATCGAGCCACTATAATGACGATAGATCTATGTGCGTGCGTTCGAAAGTGAAGCCAAAACCAGAAAGTTGATCAGTATCCATGTTGTCACATCTCCATCATCAGTTCTCACGCAGTAAAAATGGTTGAATCGTATCCCTAAAAGATCTTCAGTTTCGAAGTGGTGAAAGATCATGTTGATCTCAGTCCAAGTTCCACATCCTTTAATCCAAATCAATAAACCTTCTCCGAACTGACCTTCCCGTCCATAAAGCCATATTCATGTTCCATATGTGTACATATAAATACCCATCCATAAAAAACAAAATATAGTTCGAAATCACGCAGAAATCTGTTTAGATAGATAAAACCCCCAAAATTCAAATGCCGTGTTCATTGACGCCGTCTATATCATTACTCTCTTACCCCATTATTCTCATAGACCCGTGCAATGGAATTCACCTAAAAATACAGCGAAACCAGGTGCTAATTGGACACCCCAACCAATGGCGGCTACTACTGGTGCTGGCTATCGTCCCATGGTGAGTTTTGCCTACTCTAACTCTACTCTCTACTGTCTACCGAACTACTCTACTCAAAAACTACCAAATACTACTCGCAAGAATCCGAAAAGTAAAGCCAAACTCTACGTTGCCTCGAATTTGTTCGACTTAAACGTGAGATTAAAATCAATAATTCGAATACACTACTATATAGAAGTCATGCCGAAGCAGATTAAATTAAAGAAGAAAAGTCAAAATAAGAGAAAAAACAATGCCAGAGCAGAAAACAAAGGACACTTTTTTACTTACTTATGTAATTGCATTGTTTTTCCCTTTAATTTTCTTACGATTTTGTGTCACCCAACACTTTAGGCCACACTTCATGTACAGTACAGTATTTTTGCCTAATTTATTGTCGATTAACTTATCAAAATTAATGTTTATTTATCGATTGCACAATCAGTTTCGATTTACAACTTGAGCTACTTGGTTGTCTTGATTTTTAGTATATCTTCGATCTGTATGAACATTTTCTCAGCTTGCTTAAACTTCCTTTTGAATCAAAAAGTAAAAAAAAAAAGTAATTTAATATTATCTCATCGTCGCTAAATCCTTTGAATTTCTAAATGTTGTTACATTTGTTATTTTATAATTGTGATTTGTGAATTGAAAAAAGAACAGACCAGAATCAAAGTGCAAACCAAGTCTTTGCGGGTTGTAAGTTATGACTTTATGTTTATCCACAAAATCTTTGCCCTGATTTTCATACACTCCCCACCGTATACTAAGGAATCACATACAAAACAGCACTGTAACACTAGCACTAGGGCTAAGTTTAGTGGCACATCTTGGCGATATGGTCTAAAGGGCTAAGACAATGGGGGTTTGAGTCTTTACACGCAACACACGCAGGCCAAAAACGACAGACTTCACATATTTCCATTTTATGATTTTAATTGATTATTATTTTGATTTTTATTTTGCATTTCAAAAAAGTATATATAAACTATCAACTACTTTCTTTTCTTTATTTTATGTTTGCTTTATATCTCAACTATCCCAACGCATACCGCAAAATCGAATATCGAAACTCGAAAATCGTTAACCGAATCGAATCAAATTGAATCAAAACCTAAATATATATTGAAACCAATCAAACAAACAAACAACAAACCCATCACGTATGACAACTCACGCTGCGCCTGTGTTAATGCTGTCTGTGTGTGTGTGTGTATGTATGTGTGTTTGTGAAATATCAATATATATTCTATCAATATGCCAATATAAATATATATCAATATGTAATACGTAGGCACATGGCATGACCGTAAGTCCTGCGCCAGTCACAATCAATCATCCGTATATACATGCTAGTTATCCTGTAATGCCAAATTATATGCAGGTAAGATGATGCTGAAACCAACGAAAAATCAACAAAAACCATTACAAATTTCCAAACAGAATGAAAAATTATGAAAAACTATCATTTTGATTTAAACTTGAGTTGCCGTTTTTCCTTAAAAAACAAGTTTATATATTCATTTTTTACAAAGTCTTTTGGTTTCATTACCTTAAACATTCGAAAATCTATCATCTCCAGCACTATATAACGTGTAACGTGTAAAAGCGACCTATACGCCAGTAAACTTCCTTCTAACTTCTAAAGAAACCCCGACATGTATATCCTCTTTTGGTTAACGGCCACAAACGCGTGCTCTAAATGTTCCTCCTCTCTGGTTCTCGTCTCTGAACTAAATTGCATTATTATCTTGCACTTATCAGTTAATTTATTATTTCAATTATAATTTTGTTAGAGGTATTTATTAGTATGAGTTCAGTTACTGTTTCACTTGTTTGTAGACCTCACTACCTTACGTATGATTCCGTATGTAGCAACTGTTTTCCAAGCTCACGGTGGCCCCTCTCCTCCTATATAATGCCCAACCGACAACTATTTTCCTTTCACTGATTTTGTAGCATTGCGTCTGATATAGCAATTTATAAATACTGCCCTTATCCAGTGCATGAATTTCAATTAAAAAGTTGGTTTAAGCCTGTGTTTAATGCTTATTTTATGGACTCTTGTAGGGAATGCCGGTGATGGGGCAGTCAGCAGCCCCTTTGACTGGGGTGCAACCGACGATGATGGCGGCGCCGCACAGTAATGCGACGGGCATCATGCAACCAATCCAGCCAACGCAGAATGGCGGCAATAAAGGCGTCCCACTCGACCCATTTGGTGCGTTATAAGCAGTCCCCAAGGAGCTAATGCGTGCAACCCACTCACTCACTCAATCTAAGCGCTCTAACCTCATAGACAGCAAAACACCACATCAACCACTCTCACAGATACACAACATGCGTAATAAAATATTAAACAAAACCAATTATTATACATATATATATATATATATTATATACATGTGCAAGTGAAAACTAAGAACATGAAATTGCATTATATAACATGTTTACACTATGCTACAGAAACAATATAGAAAGTTTATGAAAACAGCAGAAAAACAACAAAAGCAAACACAAAAGAAACGGAAGCAGATGCAGATAAGAAAATTATATTATAATGTTGAACATTGAGCGATCACGAAAAAACAAATGCTATATACATATATATATATGTACGAATAGATATATATATATATATATTTATATTATTACTATTTAAATGAAAAACAAATAAGTTTGACTATTTATATGTATACACCAATTTATATACTATGCTAAAACGAATGAGGAAAAGCAGAAGCAGAAGCAGATGCAGAAAGCGAAAACGAAACAATTTCCATAAATAGCTAAAGGAAAGTAACCTATGTGAAATATACCTATGAAATCTATGAAATAAGTCTATACAAAACCTGTAGTTGTGTCCTACGCCAATCACTAAACACACGTCGAATTATGTAGTGGAACTATGTTAACTGTCTCAAAGCAGAACGAAGATTGAAAATGAAACTCATTCAGAAATGTTATTTTCAAACTCAGTCCAAGTGCTGGCACAGCTTAACGTAATAATTTGCAATATTTTAATCCGTCTATCTAATGTTTTTCTGTTATTTTTTAGTCAAGTCTGGTGGCTAAATACCTATTATATGTTTTAAATTGTTATTAAGCAAATTATGATTTGTTAAAAAGAGGGAAATATTTGTAAATGCATTCCAAACTAGCTTCAATTTTGTCCAAATTTAATTTGCGAAGGAGAAAAACATTTGTAATTATTAAGTATTATTTAAAACAACAACAAATTCTAACAACGCTGGTGTAAAATGTGTTGATAATATGTTTAAAATCTAGGAAAAAATCAAACAAACAAACAGCAACGTTTATTTAATATGTGTTATACTTTAGTATTAGACATTTATTTAATTGCTTCTGGGCATTCGATACGTAACTGACATCAAATACGTAGTTCATTTCAAGAATGTGTACATAAGGCAAAGACGTGTTTGTAGAAGTTTTCCTACAGCTCGACACGCTGAACTATGTTTAAATAAAATTTATATAAATTATATTAAATATTCAGTTTTTATTATTTCTAATTTTGTGCGGCACTGGAATTTTGTTGCCAAAATCAAACAAATTTTATTGACTTCCAAATCTTTTATCAACTCCAACCCACCACCCCCTTCTGTGTGTATCTTCTTGACGGTTCAAAGGTTTCTTCACCTAGCTTCACAGCCAACTCATAATTGCTTCAAATTCTGTCGCTTATATACTCCCATTAGTGGGTGTCTGTCCGCCTTAAATGGTCATACTTTCCTTTAAGATTATATAGCAGCAGCTATAAGCAAAATCTTCGACGTTACCCATGAGAATTAATCACATAAGCAAAAAAGTATGCTATATTTTTGCACCAGCCAAAACGCAATTCTATTGCTCACCAAAGTAGGCCACAGTTTAGAGGAGAATACATATAAGAAGGTTGACCGGGACTAGCAATTCTATGCTTTTCCTTGGATTAAATAGGTGGGTCAACTCTCGTAGGCAAAGAACAACAACGCAGATGCAATAATCGTTAGAAGCAAACAATCATGTATGGAATTTTCATTAAAGCTAGAGCTAATGTAAACGTAAAAGCCACACAACCCAAATCAATGTAAATTTAGCTAAATTATACACTCAAAAATTACAAAAAAAATGTTTTATGACAATATTTATACGCTGGTGTTTGAGCTAAACTATACTCATACTTAGGGCTAACTAACTTAAAACTACAATTACTGTCTACATGCAGAACTAAAATTAAAAGCAAACTGCGACCACTTGTTGATGTTTCGAATGAGATTTAAAAAACACAAAAAAGATCAAAAGGCAGTGAGTTATCTTTGGCCGACAATTTCCCATGAAATGCGCTTAGAGGGTTGGCTTACCAAATCGAAATGTATCTTGTAGATAACCATAGATCGTGCAATATACAGATTATCTACGACTAAGAACTATTTATGTTTGAATCAAAATGTTACTGCGTTTACTATTAGTTTGTGTATTCTCTCTAAAATGAACTCTATTTAAAAACAAATATATAAGAACACCAAGAAAATTAAGATATTTTTGTCACAATGAATTCTTACAATTCAATTCGATCCAGGCTCACGGAAATGCAAACTATTTGGGTATGTAATGTGCACACATTCTCATTAAATAGGAGTAAACAATATTGTGTATTATTAAAAATTCTGTTCAAAAACAAACCCAACTCCAAAAACAAACAAAACAAAACAGAAATGAAATGTTAGTGCAAAATAAATGTGTAAAATAATGGATTTTGTTTTATTTCTCTAGTAGGCTGTTATGATATTTCTCAAACATTTTCCTAGAAGTGATCAAATATTTAGTTAGTAATCAAAGCTCTATCAGCTACATAAACTTACAAACTTAGCCAAGAGCACCTAAAGATACATTTACAAAACTAAATATGCCACCATGTACATTGCGCCAGAGGGGCATGGCCTATATACCACGTCGGGACAAGAATCGGGAGAAGGATGTCCTGGCCCCGAAGCCAGTGCATCCGCGCTCCTTGCGCTTTCATGGATTCTTCGGCATGTCATATGTCCACCAGCATGTGATGGTCGATGAACGATGGACCCCCAACTCGCTGACGGAACAGTTCAAGGGAATGACCGACTTGTTGAGTAAGATACCTTTTTTTTTTGGCTTGGCCATTGAGTAACCATATTGAATAGCGCGTCGTTTGGTTTTCAAGAACCATGAGTCCAAGGCCAATCGCCTCCGGTATTTTCGCCAGAACAAGCGTCTAAAGTTGCAATGCCGCGATGGACGCACCAAATTGCAGAATATTCTGGTCAACGACAATACCCATAAAATTCGTAACTTCCTCATCAACCACAAGGATATGCAGAGGCTGTACCAGAAGATGCCCATTCATCTGGTGGTCGATAACATAAATCAGCGTACCTTTGTGATGAGGAAGGAACGAGATCGTCTGGAGTTTCGGTTGGATCAGTTGAAACAGCACTACAAAGAACAATTGGTTGGTATAGTTGCTCTCCTATGCGATATTTTCAAAATTTATCGATTTTATAAACGTATTTTAGCTGAGACGAGCTCTTCTGCAAAACCGTATCAAGTACCAGAACGAATTTATTCTCGACGAGGAGCTGAAGTCACGAGTTTTCCTCAAGAAGATAGAGAACTCGAATGTTCGCCTAAAGGCTATTAAGACGATAAACAACACGTATAAAAAGATGATTCAGGTGCTGGTCCATGACGAGATATTTTACGAACCCATCTTGCGCTCCCTCAGCAGTGATATGGATGATCAGTCGAACTTCATCAAACATATCCTGTTCCTGGGCATGCCGGCCATAACGAAGTTCAAGGAGCTGAACGACGAGTTTAGGCACATGGAGGACAAATCCCGCAAGAATCTGCAGTTGAAACTCCAAATGTTGGCCTCTCTCAAGAAGCCGGCGGGTTCGATCAATTTCAACAAGCCCAAAGAGGCTCCTCCGACCACGAACCTAAAGCGCTATGTTCGCGAAACACAAAGCATGATGATCCTAAAACTAGAGCTTAAGGCGGTGGAGAAGACAATCAAAGAGGTCAAGTTTGTGACACTTTGTTCTCAGGCTAAGGAAATTTATCCAAGGTTTGTAATGGAAGTTGATTTTATGCATTTCTTCATATTTATATTTATATACTTATATCAGAATGAAGAGTCAGGTGGACAACAATGATAAACTGCATCGCATGATCGTCAACGATATGTTGGCTCATGAAATGCTGGAGACCAAGATGAAGTGCGCCAGTGTCTTGAAAGGGGTTTTGGTCAACAATCTTTCAGAGGAGGAGATCAAGTGGGTTTTCTATTAATATTTTATATAGAAATTGTTCTTACATTAACTTTACTGTAGTCGCTTGGAGCGCATTAAGGATCTGAAAAAGATGTTGCAAAACGATACTCAATTCGAACAAGATACACTGCAGCATCTAAAGAACAGAGCTGATGCTTATGTTATGTTAAGGTAAGGGTAAGATGAATTACTAACACTTCTTTATTTATAGCAAATTCAATTATAAAAGCTTAATTCTATAACTCAATCTTGGCATTACTCTTCTTGTAGAGTAAGTATTTGGAACCTGCTGGAAATTCTTCGCCATATTGATCGCCAGCCCAAATTGCTGCGAGCCCAATATCCAAACTCGTACCTGAAGCTGCCTTTGCTTAAATTCGAAATGCTAAACATGAGGGCCGCTGCCCCAGAGATTTTCGAGGAAAACAGTTGAGTGGCCATCCTACCTCATAGAAAACCCATAAATCTAACCAAACTCCCTCCACAGTTGATAACATAATGCATATGGTGAAGCGTAAGATCTACAAGCTGATGAAGGCCTATACAGTTGAGCTGAAACCAGCCACGATCAAGCGAAATGTCGAAGAATACCATGCAGATTTCTTGACCAGTCTGGACATGTTCGAGCCGGTGGACAATGAAGAGCAGGCTCCAACAGCTCCCGAGGATGATATCCTGCAGGAGAACAAGACTATGGCCAATGTGCCAAATCGCAAACAGATCAAGGCACAAAGTGCCAAGCTCGTGGAGGAGCTGGCCAAGCGGGATGAAATGTAAATATTTCGTTTCAGCAGTTGTTTTAAAGCTGTCTTAAATTTTAAGTAAGTTAAATTCTGTAAGTTAAAAATCAATTTCAAATGCCTGCAATTGCTGGGTCAACAAAAAAAAAATAAAAATCGTGAGTCTTGCTTTGGCGAAATGCCGAAAAACGGAATGCCTTCCAGTAGTCGCCTTTATATAATTGATCTATAATTGCAGCAAAAGTTGCTTACTTTGCTGGGATCTTAAGTTGAATCAAGCCGTGGATTGCCTCAACTTTTTGGCTTTTGTCGACGCCCTGCATTTTCAGCAGTTGCAACAATTGCGAGGAAGAATTATTGTTGCCTCATCTTATAATTTGGGAGTTTTCCCAGTTTGATTTGTGGGTTGTGCAAGGTGTGAATGCTGTTCAGAAGAAGATAAACCTTCAAGTTTGAATACGATGCGGTCAACCTTCTATAGATTAATCCGAATTCGTTGGGCATATTTTTGTGGAAGCTCAATGAATGCATCAATAGAGCCATTAATCATTTCCTGGCCACTCCACAGCGATTTCCTGTCAAGTCTTTTGCCCGAAAAAGGTCAGTGGTTGTCATAAAAGTTTACTCGCTCGAACGTCAACGGATGGGATCATTCGGCCAAAATGAAGTTGACTGGATGGATGGGTTGGCTGGGTTATGGGCTTTTATTTTTTGTAGTCTTAGAGGCAGGCGCACGCTTCCATTCGAATCCGCAGTAGTAGTAGTACACTTGCCGACCGTCTTCCTATCTATCTGCACTGTTATATCTGCGTACACGATATCACGCCGACTTAGAGAAGAAACCGAAAAAAAAAAAAACCTGGCACGGGAGCACGCGAGACCATAAGCCGCCAAATGAGGTTATGCAAGTCTCACATTATTCGCGGGCCACCATGTTTATTCATATCCACACTCTCGAACATATTCACGATGTGGTTATTGTCATTGTTCCCCCTCCTCAAAAAGCCAGACAAATTGGATGCTGGAAGTGCTTCTCCCAAACGAAGGTGATGGTGTTTTGGTGGCTGCCCTTAAAAGTTAATTTTGTGGTCAACTTTCGACACTTGAATGAAATGCTTTTCTTTGGTCTACAAATATTTTGATTGGTTTTTATTTTTGTGGTTAACTTATTTGGTACATAAAGTAACTCAAACTAATAGCTATGAATTAGATTAAGTTTATTTAATAAATGTCTTGCAAAGCACCAAATTCTTAATTATTATTTCTGATCTGAATCGATCACTTAAATAATTAAAAATAAATCCATTAAAGGCCACTGCATAATTGACATCATAAATCATAAAATCACGGAAATACCAAGACTCGAAATCAATTAATCCAATTGGGGAATGAGAATAATTATACTCGAAATCAATCGAATAGGGCAATTAGTTATGGGGGGTTTCTACTGGTTTGTCAATTAAAGAAATCTCTTGCTTCTACTTAAAAGTTAGTTACCTTAAAAAGGTTGCCCGGTCATCTTTTCACATGACCCACTCCCAGGATCATCGACGTGATTGAGCCTTACAAATGGCTAATTTGGACATCGTAAATCTTCATAAACCAAACGATGCAATTTCTCGGACTTAACTCGAACTGTCTTCAAGTAGTCAAAACCTATTTAACCCGCCACTTTGCACTCTTGCCCCAAAACGACGATGAGGCCTGCTCAGTTCCTGTTGCCATCGTTCAAACGGTTGCCAGTTGCAACATTTCAAGAAGCCACAACCCACCGGCAGCCGTTCGTTCGTCCAATAATTATGAACCTTCTTGGCTGTTGGCGGCAGTTTGTGTTTGAAATTATTCGCATAGTAGCCCCAGCATCGTGGCAACAACAATTGGTAGTCAGTCAACTTAACGCGGTCTGCGAAACTAGCCAATTTCTGTTCGTTTCTGCCGGCTGAATCGTGGCCAAAGTTTTTCTTTCCTTTTTTCTTTTTTTGTACAATTTGTAAAACGAAGACGAACTGCAGGGAAATTGAAGGAAACATGTTATGGAAATTAATGCGACGAAAATGGATTACTCTAGCCTAGGAGAATTTTAAATATTATAGATTCAAATTGTCTTTGGCTTTTTTTCAGCATAGAAGATTACTATTTTGATTATCATACTTAAGTAAAAACATTTCTTAAATTTTTAAAGCTCTGTAAGTAAATAATTAAATAGTCTTTGCCAATATAACGTTTCCTTAAGACCATAAAGAAGCGAGTTTAATATTATATTACCTATAGGATCATACCCCTATTGAGGGTATAAATGTAGGATTTACTGCATTGCATGCAGCACCCCCAGGAAATTATCTTGTCAATGGCTGCGCTTCAATTGCAGTCCAGCTATTGTTGGGCTTGGGCTTGGGCTTTCGTTTTTGGGGTCCGTGGCCAACTCCTCCGCATCTGACTTGGTCTGAGATGGACAGTAGCCGCCCGGACCTGGCTAGCAGTTCCCTTTTTTTTTTTTGTTATTTTTGGAAGCTCGTTTTTGAGGTGTGTTCCTGTAAGGCGCATGATCCCAACCATATTTCTTCTTCATTTGCTGGCATAATTTACATATGGTTATATAACACTGTGGCATCAGGGAGGCATCAGGGGTAAACGTGCTCATTGCAAAACTCGGCTCCAACTGATGCGGCATGTTTTATTTAATTGCCAACGAGTCATACCAAGGAAAACGGCGCACAGGAGAGATCCCAAAGTCGAGTACACATGTAACAGTTAACATCGATTCCAAACAACTAGCCATCCATCCATCTACCTATCTATCCCCTTGCAATTGGTGATTTGTAGGGCAGACAGTATTGTCTTTTGTTCGTGGTCAATGGCTGCGTAAAGGTTTGCAAACGTGTTTCCCCTTTCAAGAGACCCAGCATGTGGCCTGGATGCCGAGATGTGCTCTTCACAACCATCATTAAACAGAGCTTATAATTTGTCAATGCTTCTGCAGACATAATGTATATAATAAAATTGGATTTGCTCCAAATAAATCTGGCAAATTAATTGGGTTGGTTTCCCGAGGTAATGTCCCCGAAAAGACATCAAAGTAGCAACCAATTCGGGTTATTATATCACCTGCAGAACAATACCAATCAGCAGGTTCAACTCTTCCTAGGCGACACTCCCATTTCTTTGGCCCAGAGACCGGTTGCTAACAGAATAAAAGTTATAAATAAATCTGTGTCACAGGCAGAACCCAGCACAATAGACAGATAAAGAATAAAAAACAACCTCAAATCATTCAAGATTATGCAATTTATAGGAGTAAATGAAAATATCAAACACGCAAGCGAAAGAAACGAAAGATCGAAAAAAAAAACAAAAGGCTTGGACAACAAACTTGTTTTGGTTCTAAGAGCGTAGAACACGTTTAGACGAATCGTCTCCTGTGGGGGGAACTTTCCCAGCGTCGGAAGACTTTTGGCCAAACTGTAAATTTGCTGGCATGCATATTGTAATAGTGTCACTTTGTCTTGCCCCAGTCATCTGCCTAATTAACAGAGCTTCATAAATATTCAAGCAAATCGTAGATAAGAACTTCAGCTCGTTGCTCAAAAACCCCGAGTTGCACGTTCCGTTCGTGTTGTGCCACCATTAAGGCTTCAGCTTTAAGCCTTTGGTTCTTGGTGTCTCTGTGGTCCAAAAGTGTTTTGAAATCACTCTCTATAAATATGGATTTCTCAAGAGCTGGCTGTGAGAGTCTTAGAGCTAAGCTGACTGACTAACCACCGATTATTTTAATTAAATTTTATTATAATAGACAAAAGACCCAACGCCCACATGCCATTGGCAAGGCAAATGGCCAAAAATATATATTTTTATTTCTTATGCTTATGCAATTGTTTGTTTGTTTAACCAGCTGTTGTTCTATGCAAATGTTAATCTAAACTTATCTTCCCTGCAATTATACAGCTGCACTTATCGGCCAAGTTGCCGAGAACATGGCTCGATCTCTGGCGACCTCCGGCATGGATTCCAACTTAAACCAGGCCCCGCCCACGGATATGCCCTTCAGCCAGCAGCCACTGCAATTGTTCAGTTAGAGCCCGATAATGCAAACATTAGACACTTCATTTCATTTGGTTTGCCGTCGTCTCGTCGTCCGCATGCCTTTCAATACCTCAATTAACCCATCATGGGCATGCTCAGCTTCTGTCTGCGGCTTTGTTTTGCGTTTGTTTTCGGGCTTTGTTTGGCTTTTGGCATCTTCGAGATGGCTATCAAGCCAACACTTACACGTCGATCTACAATTTCCGAGATCCAAGATAGTCGCCAGTGGTGGCTCGTTATTTCTTGTCTAGGGCTTAGAATTCGGTGTGCCATTGAGGAGTCGTGAATCAGTTAAAGTTCTTGCAAATAATTAAAAGGTTCCGCGACTCTGGCATACTTGAAATCATTAAAAAGCGAAATAACTCCATTACCATAGGCAGTGAATATAAGGAAGTACACACTTAACTGTGTGAAATATTTTCTATTCAATTGGCTCTTGAAAAAGATATTCAAAATAATCTTAGTTTTGAGAAATTTTCTGCCTATAAGATGAGTTGTGCAAGAACTTAACAAGCCAAACAAAATCTATTAAAAGAAGTCAAAATTTAAATTTTATTTCACAATCTACCAGAACCTTTTCCATTATTTGCTGGCATACCAAGAACCCGTTCGCGTCTTGAAAATGTTCTTATTTGACTTTCTAGCTCTTGATGCCCACTTAAAAGGGGGTATTTTTGTAACAACTTAACCGAATTGCAAGAAAGTAACTAATACTGTTTCGTCTGTAAGGCCGAGTCTATCTCTCAATCGCCGTTGATTAAAGTTAGCTCGTTGGCTTCTGTACATCAAATAGAAAATCTATCAGGGAGTACCCGATAGTTTTGAGCTGTAGGGGGAGTTAATAAAAGTACATTAAATGTTGATTAACCGGCTTACTAACCCACCTTTTAGAATTCTAGCTCTTGATGGCCACCTAAGACAAAGAGGGCGGATTCAAAGGGTGGGAACTTGTAAGTCCAGGTCTATCTTCCAATCGAAATTGATCGAAGCAAGCCCGGTGGCTTTTGTACATCAAAAGACAAATCTATCAGGGAGTACCCGATAGTCTGGAGCTGCAGGGGCGTCAATAAGAACATTCAAACAGCATTTAAATGACACTTGGCTTTAGTTTCTAAAGATATTATCTAGTGAAGAGATTAAATTATTATATGAAATAGCAATCAACTATCTAGTTGTTACCAGCTAAAAGTTGATTGGGTTCCGTGTCTAGTGGTTTCTTGGCAGCTTCCTCGATGTAGTCTCCGCCAGCGCGCAGGGATAGGCGTTCCAAGGCCGGGCGATAAGTGGGAACCAAGTCTAAACTCTTCTGCCCCTGTACCTTCTGTTTTTGTGGCCCAAACTGAACTGTTTCCTTCTCGGCTTCTTCCTGCTGCTGAGGAATCTTTTTCTGGCAGTTGAAGAATCGAATCCAGGTATGTGGCTGGAAGTAACGGCAGCCTGGCTTGGGTGGCTCTTCAACCAGCGGTCCCTTCGGGTCGATGGCGTTCTGATCACGATATATGTGTCGTGGGTGGTAGTGCTGCTGGTGTTGTTGCTGTTGGTGCAGACGACTGACATCCTCTACCACGAACAGGACGCCGGCCACAATGAGTAGAGCCACCGAAAGCAGGACGAGGAAGCACAGGATGTCCTGCAGCAGAGTTCTCAGATAATCTGGATTACCCGAGCGACGCTCCCCGGCGGGCGTTTGGCTTTCAGCCTTGGAAAGGTCCATGAAAATAAAATTTTTGAACTAACGAAATTTGAAGTAAAATTTAGTTTTTCTTCTTATTTTGAGGAAATTTGGGATGCCAAACGGTGTTGACTGGTCAACCGATTATCCAGAATAAAGTGATTCGTTGCGATCTAACCTGACTTTGCCTGGACTTGAATCACCACGCCTACTGGCTTGATTTTTCTGTCGGAGCTTTGTTGTCTTCCCTGCATTTCTCATGATGAGCCCAACTTTCCCAACAGCTATGGCAATTGGTGTAATTGAAACTCTTTAACGGCAATCAACATGGCGTTTGATGTGATTGAATTATTGGACACTTAAATGGGCGGCCCTCAGCGAAAGGCAAGGCAGCCGAGAGTCGAGTCTTTAGTGCATTTTCTTATTTTCACACCTCGGACAGCCCTTTCATCTGCTCCTTGGCCCTCACTTGAAGCTTCGGACTGTCGGCCTGGGGAAGCCTAACGTGTATCCACTCAGCGCTAATGAAGATGTCTCCCCCAAAAACTGGAACCGAATCCGTGGCAAACTGCCAGGCCTGGCAGTTCATTAGTCAGGAAGTGTTATACATGATGCAGTCGACGGTGCGGCCATGCATGTTAGGGAAATTGAGGCTTTAATTTGATTATATAGACACTAAAAAGGGGAAGGTATGGTATTACATAAACGGCTAATCAGTGATTAGATGATAGGTAAATAAAAGTAGAAAAAATGCACAAAAGTGTACTTAAAAATTGTTAAAATAACTTAAGTTATACTTTATTTAAATATTATAAATTCCCTTTTCTCAAGGAAGTGAAAAGGCAGAACTTGGCTTGCCAAAAGAAAAACATATAATTTCGATTTCCGTAAAACGTTTTCAATCAGCTGGCTAAAATCAATTAAAAGGCAAACGGCAAATGCTCAGTTATACAATCAAAGTTGTAAATTGTAAATGCCCCCACTGTGTGACGCTCCGCAACTGATAAGGCCACCTTCCCCTTAAGCTGAGGAAACCAAAGAGCTGGGGCGAGCACAACAATGGCAGCGGAGACATTACATAACCTCCAGATGCCAGGGCAGGCACAATAACCTACAAATGCAACCTCCACTAACCGACTGAACCCAGGCCCAAAAGGAGAAAAAAAATACAAAATACAAGGCTAAACTGCTAAAAACTCAACGTAATACAGTTTGTGTAGCTTCTAGAGAAAATGAAACTGAAATAGAAAAACAAAAACCCGAGCGGGAAAATCATCGGGTCGAGTTGTGTGTGGGAAATTGCGACAACGACAAATAAATTACAGCAACGCTTAAGGTCAAGCGATTTGTGCAGAAATGAGGCATATAGAAAACATATTGCTGCGATCGCTGCCTTTCCGATAACCAAAGAAATGAAATAGGCCCTCAGACTGCTGCTAACTGTCTGCTGGGGAACAGAGATGCCACCTGGCCAAAAAGTGTCTTTAATGAATTCTAGCTATTTTTATGTAATATTCAAAATAAAACAAAATTAAGAATCATTTTTAATAAATATGTTTAATTATTTAACAAAACGGTTTTTTGCCATTAATAATAGGTCGAAAAAGTAAAATTAACAGTCTAATAATATCTAGAATGTATATATAGGTAAAAAAGACTGTAATTAAATTAATTTTAAATTGTATAATTAAATTAAAATAACAAGTATTTATGGAGCCTAACTTATATTTATGACATAGTTTTTAAATCGTAGTTTCAGTTTAAGTTTTCACTTTATTCCATTATTTATTTTTTGTAGTACTCCAAACTATTAAAATTCCTTATATTTATTTGTATATTTTATTTATATTTTTTATAGATAAAACTATAGTACCTTTGTCATCACTGCTACCTAGTGGCTGCCAGATAGACTGCCGACGAATCGTGGCTACCTCAATTGCTGCGGGGTCAAATGGCGTTGAGGTAACGAGGCGAGCTAAATCATCGACTTCAACTGGGAGTCAACACGTGCAGAGTGTTCCATGCCCCCGGCTCTCAGACCTGGGTTGCGAATCTCCAGCTCTGGAGCTCCGCTTCTGCGCAGCTCGGCCAGAATTGATTGCCACTTGGGAAGGCCATTTCGGTTGCTTTTCTAGCGCGTTCGTACATATAAATCAAAAGAATTTTATTTTTTTTTTTTCAAATTGCAGTCCATGATTTAAGTGGCGAGGAAGGCCCAAAAGCTTGTCTGACATTACCCCCATCAACCCGGGGAGCGGCCGGGTCTGGGACGAATCAAGGTGTCAATTTGGCGAGTGAGGCATTTTGGGAGGGCTTTCGGTAGTTGGCGATCAATTAAATTCGTATTACACTTAGGCTATCTTCAAAAGTGAAGTTCATCAGTTTTCTAGATCTATACAAATAGCGCTATATTCTGGGAAATTACTTTGACTTAGTCACGTTAAATTACAAAATAGTGTCAGCGCAACATTGTATTATCTATTAAAGCCCTGGGGAGATTAGGTGTTAACTCTATTATCTCAAAGTTTCTTAATTAGACTTGTGTTGTGAGATCGTATACTCCATAATACATAAACTAAACAATTTACATTAGATAAGGAAGACGGCTATGAATAGACCTACTAGACAAATAATTAATCTTGATTAATGAAGTGCTTGATATTTGATATTTAATTATGAAAATGTTTGCATTATTTAAAGATCAAATAAGCGGCATTGTCAAACAACATATGATATTATTAACTATCTCTACAATTATGACCTAATTTTAAATCCATAAAGTATATGGGATAAGTATTTGCTTTTTATGGAGATATAACTATGAACTACCCAGTTCCCTTTCAAGAGAAACCCAGAGTTGCCCTTTCGAGGAGGTGAATGCCTGGCTGGCCAGTTTCATAACCCATTTCGATGGTTTGTAAGTGGTAACAAGTTACGGCTATCGCCTTCGTGCCTTCATGTCTTCATTTCACCCACCGCCAACGCCACCACAAGATTGTGTTAAAATTTTATTTTTGCATAATTGAAAAAATTTAACAACTTTAGCCAAACAAATTTTACGTTAACTGTGCGCATTTTGTAATTTCGCTCGCGTGCACATTTCGTTTACCTTGCCGACCTGACCCATTCCTTGGCTAAAATGGTTGCAAACAAAAAAAAAAATAAGGCAGAAAGCCAAAACATTATTACAACAAGCAGCGTGATTTCCGGAAGTTAAAGCTAAAGCTGAAGCTGAAGCGCAACAAAGGCGCCTGCGCCTGCGCAAATGTCGTCGTCGTTGGCTGTCGAATTGATTGTTGCCGTTGCAGTTGCAGTTGTGGCAGTTGCTGCGAAGATCCAAAGAAAGTCGTGCCGCAACAGCTGCAACGGCAGCTCGGCAAACTTGCCCGTCCTGCCTTCGTGCGAATAATGTCATTTGTGTTTGTTTTATAACCAAATTTACAACAACTTGCCACTGTCAACGACAGCAGCATTCACAACGTCATTGGGCCACTCAACATAATTGCCGCAATCCATGTCAGCGTTGTCAATGGGCAATCTACAAGAACCTTTCTTGTGACTTTCAAGGATTATCACGACTTTTCAGTCTGTAACTACTTTCAGGCAAATGAGTATTAAAGTGGGAGTAAGCTAAAATTAGCTGTTTTTCAGGCAAAAGTTGAACAATTTCTTACCCCAAATACTTTTCAGTTAGTTACTACTTCATTTTTGCTATTAAATTTAACAACTGTGGGGATTCCTTGAAGATTTATCATTATTTTTCAGTCTTTAGTGGACTAACTATAAGCAAATTGTGTGTAGGTTTGCCTTTAACAGGGTGTTGCTGAAGGCGTCTTGCTTTTATGGCTATTATCAGTTATATCAGTTTTAACGTTATTTTTGGTATTTAGCTTCGATTTTATGCCACTATTACTTACTTTTATGACGTTTCCTGAAAAAATAAATATGTGTTACTTTAACTAAAAATACACTTTTGAACACCCAATATTACTTTGCTAAGCTCGCCAACCTGTCTTAAATCCAACCATTTACATAATCAATTTAAATTTAGGTTTCATTCTTACTTAATCTCACTTTCTTTTAACTCTTCCCTCATACTTTCACCATAGACTTTCCAAATATGTTCTAATCAATCATCTAAAGTAAAGAATACTTTTACTTAACTTTTACCTTACCAACAAGAATAACCGAAAATCCAAGTCCACAGCTTCAGGGTCAGATGTTATGTAATCTCTTCGAGAAAAGAGACCCAACATTGCGTCATTTTGCGATCTTTTTTTAGTTAATTCCTAATTAATAGGTTTTCTTCTTTTGCTACGTAGATGGTGGCTGCACGATCTAACATAATAATTATAGAAATAAAGCTGTCGTGGATAACATAAATTAGCATTATAGAAAATAGAAAGGTTTCGCCTTCTTTGTCGGGCCCAAATGGTGGCCAAATGGTGTTTTTGCCCTCGCATCCGATCCTCACACTTGACCATTCTTTTAGATGCTGATGATGATCGTGGCTAATTTTATGCCCAGGTCTCGTTGGATTTCATAAATCTTTGATGTGGCGAAATTTCGTCCAAGTGGCGGAGGCATTAAATTAATGTTCTAACATAAATTTATAATTCATGTTTAAAGGCCAGGCCAAAAAGCAGTGGTGTAAAAAATGATGGCTTTGTCTCGGCAATCAGCCAGTTGAGGTTGATTTAATGACCTTTTTAAGATGCTCAAGCCGATGCTGGCTCAGACACAGGTACTCTTATTAATTATTTTATTGGCAGACGTTTTATAAATGCTTCACTGACAGGAAGCGCTAATTAAAGTTGTTTTTTTCCTAAGAAACTTCTGAGGCGGTTAATTAATTTTGTCAAGTGGAAACAAATTGTTGTTTTCAATTCTAGATCCTTTTGGCAATTACTTTTGCCCTACAAGGTCACTTTAATTTTTGGTTATATTCTTAAGACATTAACTACCACACTTCGAATGCAGCTGCCTAGCATTGATGTCTTGATATCTGAATATATTTATCTCTACTTGGCTTCACGCACTTCACTCGCCACTTGACCTTTCAATTAATCATGGCTGAAATATGAGTGTGAGTTTTTCAGCCATTTTCAGGTAGCTTCTGCTGTCAGCCACCCTATCAGACATGTTTTTCATCTGCCGCCTTATTTACCATAAAGTTTTCACACCAAGAGTCAGGTTTTTTCTTGTTTTTATTTGGAAGTAAGCCAATGTGTATGAATATTTAAGTAATTTTGTTGAAGTCAAGTCTCAGAAATGCAAATGCTGTTTGTGCATATATTAAGGTTTTATTTTGGCCAAAGTTCAATCAACTTTAGGCCAAACTATTTTAGTTTGCATAAAGGCAAAGAGCAGCAGAAGAAGCTATTATGCAAACGGATGGAAAAAGAACCAAATCATTCAATACTGATATCATACCCTTCACCCATCCGATTGTATAATATTCGTGACCAAAGGAAATGCGGAATTCGGTAAGCCCGACTTCCCACCATTCACAAAATTAGAGCATATAAACATTTAAACCAATTTTTCACAATTACTGAAATCGACTGCCAACGAGCACAATAGGAACTCAACAACCAAACAATAATGAATTCAATATTTGCAATGACACAATCAAATAAATCGCGGAATAATTTCTCTCGCAATTGCGCCGTTGTCATCCCAAAAAAAGTATACCTATGGTTATCAATGGAGATCAGTGGGTGAGTGGCACACTCGGCGGCGCTAATTGTGAATTATGGAAGTTGAATTCGGAGTTGCTACCGTGGGGCAACAACAAGGAATGACATATCGGTCAAATGGAAAATTGCGTGTTAATAGTCATGCAGGCCAGACAATGGCTTTCTTTCTTTTTGGCCGATCAAAACCAAACAATTGGCAGCCGTGTAGCCACAAATCAAATGCTCGTAAGAGCAACAATAAGCAATTGCTGGCATTAGCCGCGATTGTTTGCCCAACTTTTCGGCCTCTTTTCTTTATATACATTTTTTTGTTGATCTGAATTTGGGAGTGGTTGCAACAGTGGCAGGGCCCACACACCGACTTCCGACAAGTCATCCACGGGCTGACCCATCAGCCCGGTTGATTATCAACTTAATCAGCAGCGGCTAATTGCAGGCTGCCGACACATTTGCACTTAGCTTAAATGTACAATAAGTGCAGCTAAGTCGGAGGAGGAGTTGTTACAAATTTCCGCCTGTCAGCTGGGCGACTAGATCCCATTTCCAGTGAGTGACAGAAAAACGTGTGAAAATTATGAAACTGCATTTTGATGCAATGTCTGGCGATGGGTAAGTGGATGTGGATGAGGATGGACTCCCGAAATAAGTAACTCCCCCACTCAAAATGTGAGCATTTGACTGTGCCTCTGTGGGTTTTGCCACTCCAACTTCAGCTCCATCTACATCTACGTTTCGACTTGGCTTTGTTTGGGCTGGCATCGTCTCTGGAGATCTGAGCGAGATTTGTGTGTCCTGTCATAGAGATCAAATTTTCTTTTCTCCTCGCTCACATTGCGCCGCTTAATTTGCCCAGAAACTGCATTTGCCAGAGCTCAAAAAGTGCCCGTCGTAGCAGCTAAATAAATAATTTTTATTGTGTTGAATTTATGAGTCATTGTTTGGCTCTTTGGATCTTCTGCTGCTGCCTGCCGCTGGCTTTATCTTTCCGATTTTGCGAGTTCATTAATTCTGCATCGCAACGTAATCACAGGGAAAACGGCTGGGCAAAAGAGTTTTCTTGTTGCATCGCCGGCTTATCACGGTGAAAAATAATCTACTTAGGTGTCTAAGAAAACTCAAAGGAGGTAGAAACGTAGGTGGCGTAAAAAGATAAGGGGGAAGAAACTTAGGTGAAAAATAACTTATAGGGGTAGAAAGAAAGTTTGACAAATATAAAGAAATGGATACAAGCTTATCTTTGACAACGATTTTATTCAAGAAAAAATGAAATGAAATTAAATAAACTTAAGCTTAAAATAAAAATGAAATGATCTGAAAAATAAGGCCTAACGCTAACGTCACTTTATGTTAATTTTAAACCCCTGAAAACAATCATTACGTCTTCATTCTCCAAATAAAAATTGTAGAAAATTATCATAAAATTCAAGTTATTATATTTTCTTCAATCATTTTTTCTTATTCGCAGACTTATATATTTAAGTAAATAATGGCTATTTGGCATTATACCATTAATAATAGCTATAAGTAACTTAAACCTATTCATTTACAATTTTCGCGCTTATCAATCACAAGATCACAGCCCCAAGACTTTCTCCCAGCGAAATTAATTTAAATTTCTATGTATAGAAATCCGCAAGGAAAACCGCAATGCTCGAAAATTGAATTAGGTTCAAGAGTTCAGGATGAGCCGTTGCCGCTATTGTGCCACAAATTATTAAGTGAGTACTCTTGACATGGAAGCATTTTGGATCCCGCGTCTTATGCAATGGGCTCTCATCGCATCGCCAAACACAACAAAAGCAACCAACTTTGGCGTGGCCGCTGGGCCCGAGGTTGATGTCATCAGTGCGTCATCAGCTTTCCTTTGGTCTCCGGCAGAAAGAGTCCCAAGACAATGAATCCAAAGAGGCACATGCCCGCTGACATGAACATAGTGGCAGCCAGGCCCTGATCGTAGATCATGGTGGGGTAGATCTTCAGAGCCACAAAGATAAAACCACTGAATGTGGCCATGCTCAAGGAGGTGCCAATGGAGCGAATCTGTAATTATTAAGAAAGGGTTACATGCTATTTTATCTGGCGAAACATATGGCTAACTTTATGGTCTGTTCTTTCGGTTTTTAATTCATCACTGATCTTCTCTTCCAACTCACCTTAGCTGGCAACAGTTCAATGATAATAATGAAGATCAGGGCTATCACTCCCAAAGATGCAATGCAGGCCACAAAGCACATGATGAGCAATGGCAGCCAACCATTCTGGTCCAGAAACTCTGCCGAGGCAAAGCTCTTTAGCAAAGCAATGGTCAGCTCACCCAAGCCCATGCCACCCATTGAGGTGAGCAGGAGGACACGTCGTCCCAGTCGATCCACCAAAGCCACAGCACTGAAGATGCCCACCAGCTGCGCAGCTCCCACAACAATGGTACTGGTATTTGGATCCATTTTGTTGCCCAGCTCCGCGAAAATGTGCGAGGTGTAGTTAAAGATGGCAAAGCTTCCTGACAGCTGATTGCAGACGATCAGCACAAAGATCAGACCGAATATTTTCAGAGTAGGTAAGTTGACTGAAAAGGTAAATAATGAATTTTATAAATTATAAATATGTTTATAAATTAAACAAACATGCAGCAACGTGGCAGCAATAAGAAAAGTAGTACGGGAGTTACACGCTACACTTCTGTGATCAGTTTGATCTTTGATATAACTTTTTTGTTTGCCCTCTTAATCACTAGTTATAATCTTAATATAACATCTTATCTCACTCACAGAAATCTCGCCAAGAAATACTCTCGGTGACGCCACCGCTAAGAACCTGAAGACGAAATGTGTCAAACTCGATTTTCGCTGCGTCATGCTTAGGAGCCTCCTTGTCGTAGGAACTGGGTGCCTTTAGATTCTTGTAGAAGTAGAAAGACTTCTCGGCCTGCTCATCGTGACCACGCCTAAGCAGATATTGCGGTGTCTCCGATAGTCCAATGATTGCCAGTAAAAACACCACAGGTAGAGCCACGATGATACAGGGCATCAGATAATACGAGAGATACGAGGCCAGTGTAAAGCCCACCATCATGCCGATGCTTAACGTACATCATAGCCATGGACGATAAGGCTCCTCGAATGCTGAAATCATTTAGTTTATTTCTTATTAATTGAGGAAACAAATGGTTTTATATCCTAAAAATTATTTTATAATTATTTTTTAAAAAAAAAAGCATCTTTTCTATAAGAAATTTGTGGTGCTGGGGGAGGAACGCCCTAAAAAAAAAAAAAAAAAAAAAAAAAAAAAAAAAAAAAATTAAAAAAAAAAAAAGCAATGAGTTACATCCAAATATGTGGAATTTGTATTAGTTATTTTTTTTTTTTTAATAAAAAATAAAAAAAAAAGGGCTGCTTCCTGCTCCTGTGTTTTTTTTTCTGTAGGAATTTTTTATAAATATAATTTTTTTAATCTCCTGGCAGTTTGCGTAACCACGCCTTGAACTCACTACTTTGGAGCCAAGCATCGCGAAAAATTTGTTTATATTGGACTTTCGGCATTTTACCATTTCGGCACTATCGATTAGAAATATATGTATTCTCGATCATATGAAACGCACATAACCATCGGCAAAAAAGAACAGCTCCGATATTTTCATGCCATAAAGCATATTTTTCTTACGTAGCAACGCGTTAATGACGTTAATACATTTAAAGCTAGAATATGCTAGATGAATTTAAAAATAAGCTATATTTCAAGCTAAAAGCTAGATCGATATTTTTCAAGCTTTTCCAGTTCAAAATATGCTAGAACTAGCTTATAATAAGCTAAACTGGAAACACTGAACATAAAGTGGTCCAAAGTCAGTCCAATGATCAGTCAGCATGACTTTTCAAATATAATCTTTGTTTATAAAAATAATTTATGTACTAACCCTTACGTACTTAACTTTTACTTAACCTGGATTACCAAGAATAAGTTGTGACTAAAAGAAAGATTTTAAAAGAAAGAAAGAAGTGTGAATGTGACTAAAAGTAAGATTTTAAAAGAAAGCATGAAGAAAGTAAGACAGTCCACCTTTAGCAGACCTTCCTCAATAACACTTTAGTAATATTTAAAAACCAAATTAGCATTTCATTGATAAGGAACCTAGTCCTAACCAAACAAATAATCAAATTTTAGACACTGTCTAATTCCAGTTAATTCTAATTATACAATATTTCCACGACCTCTATCTAATCGTTCCAAGGCAGACAAACGCGGGCCGATATCGTTGACTATCAGCTGCACGTAAAACTTGAAATAATCAATAGCCAATAGATTACATTTAATCCGAAAGGTTATTCCTCTAACGAAAATGACGCCACTTACCTATTATCGGCTATTTCCGCTATAAATATGGGCAAGACGACATAGCAGCCGCCTCCGGACATCCCCGCTAGGAATCGTCCAGCATAAAGATACGTGACGTCTTGCGCGGAATAGATAAGGATCCAATACATCTGTCGAATTCGAAACAACAATATGGTGAGGTGACTCAGGCACTCGGGAAACCCCTTCAAAATCTTTATCTACCATATTGGGTATGGCCAGGAAATACATGCACAGTTTGCGGCCCAAACGATCGAGTAGCAGTCCGAAGATTATATTCCCAGTCAGTGAACCAAGGCCGATAAGTGATCCAACCCTGATGACATTGAATTTAGTTCCCTCCTTCTCAATCCTTGGAGATCAACTTACCAGGATGCCTGTGTGATGGTCAGTGGATCTCCGAGAGGGCTATCACCGGAACCAAGAAGTCTCAGCGAGGGTGACAACCAGCCCACGGCAATTCCATGGGTCAGAGTCATTATGTGCACTGGGATTAGTTTATTTAGATTAAATTTGATTCTTTAACCCACTGAATTCTCACCCACCCGTCATGGTGGCAATAAATTGCCATCGGTAGCGCGCATTGAAAACACTCAACTTTTTTGGTGGACTTGAATCGAAAGTCATATTGGCTAATTCCTTTTCTTAACGCTACCAAAAATATTCCGCTTTTTGGATAGGAACTAACCGCTGGGCGGTCGTGTGCCTACTGAAAGTTCTCAGTTTTGGTGGCAAATGCTTTTGTAGTGGAAATCACGTCGAGATACGCTCACTTCACTAACTTCTTGGGATTGTAAACAATTATGACGACTATAAAATTGTTGCAGATTAGATAAGTGTTAAGTAGTCGCTGATTAATGCACTACGTTACCCTTTAAAGAGGTCTGGCCAAAGAAGTCTATAAATTTTGTTGCACCAAAAAAATGCCCATCAAAAACAAAGCCTTTGACAGTCAGGTTAATCCCAATCTTGAACTTGACAATATAATTATGTAAATTTGAAGAACTTTGCGTGAGTAAGGTGATAATATTTGACATAGATTAGCAAAGTCATTGTACACAAAACAATTGTAAACAATAAAACATTTTTATTGAAATAATCTTTATTTACCCATTTTATGACATTTTTATTTTCACTTTTCACGTAGTTTGTGGGCTGATCACGAAAATTATGGAAATATGTTTTTGTTCAGGGGCACACAGTAAAGAACATAAAAGTTATTTTTATCCAAAAAAACTGGCAACCGGAGGAAAATAAATATGACATCCATTAAGCTAAAGGCAGATTTCACCAGGCCTTGAAGTTCACACCCCTTTTAATTCGCTATCTTGGATAAAAGTAATTTCTCGTTATCACAACAACTTGTCACTAAGGACCGATTTAAACAAAAATAACCAGTTTATCACGTAAATAAACCTTGTGAAATCGATGTATTATTGTTTAAAGTAAACGCTTAGCTGAAATTTTATTATTAAAATTAAACTTTTAACCATAACCATTAGTGCGTTAAACTCTTTCCTCTGGTCTCAGGTAGAAATAAGCCCAGTACTATTACGCCCAAAAAGCAAAAACATGCCGACATGTACATTGTAACATCCACTCCGTAGTTGTGGAGCATGACGGGATAGATCAAGAGTGCCATAAATACTGTGGAACTGAGAGCGCACATGCTGATGGAGGTTCCGGGTGCTCGGATCTGCAGGATAAAGTTATCTTACTCAGGTTCTTGGATAGTCAAAGAACATACCTTGAATGGCAGTAGTTCAACGATGATGACGAAGGTTAGGGCCACTACTCCAGCTGATGAACTAAAAGCCACAATGCACATTAGGGTTAGACCAACCCAGCCATGGTGTTCCAGATAGTATTGCGAGCCAAAGGACCTTAACAGACCGACACTAAGCTCAGCCAGACCCATCCCAGCCAGCGAGGGAATCAACAGCCACCGACGACCCACTCGATCCACCAGAAGAACAGCGCTGGTTAAGCCACAAAGCTGTGCAGCGCCCAGCACAATGGCACACATATTCGGCTCGAGATGGCTGCCCAGTTCCGAGAAGATCGCTGAGGCATAGTTGAAGATGGCAAAGGTTCCTGACATCTGGTTACACAGCAGTAGTATTCCGATTAGACCAAAAGCCTTCGCCGTATCGCGATTAACTAAGTAAAGTATGATATAAAATAATTTAAAATTTTTAAAAGCAATCGCCATTCGGAAAATGTTATCAAAAGTCAATTATATCAGAATAAATTATAACTAATCAAACTTACAGAAGTCATCAGAGTTAAGCTTTTCTTTAAGTCCGCCGCCGAGTACTTTATCTCGAAAAATGTCGACCTCAGCTTTTACTTCGTTGATCTTGGCCGGATCCTTCGACAAATTCTTGTAGAAGCAAAAAGACTTTTCCGCCTTTTCATCATGCCCTCGTTTCAGTAAATCTTGAGGAGGCTCGGGGTAAGGAAGTATGAGAATGAAGAAGAGGATTGGCAGGACAATGACGACGCAAGGTAGCACATGGTAGGATAGGTAAAAAGCAAGAATAAAGCCCACTGTGATGCCGCCACAGAGGGTCAACATAAAAAATGATGTTAGAGTTCCACGAATGCTTGAGGAAAAAAAGGGTAAAAACTTTTAAAATATCCAAAATTTACTGCGAAAAAAGGTTCTAAGTATTCTAAGCTTGCAGTATAAATTTCTATATTATATTTACTCATCATTGAGCATATAAAGTATTTTTCCTATTTCTATTCAATCGATTAAAAGCATCACCTATTGAATTATTTATATTGACAAACCTGTTATCGGATATTTCTGCGATAAATATCGGAAAGCAAACCGTCATAGTGCCGCCAGATATTCCCAGCAGAAAACGGGCTATATAAAGGTAAACTGGGTTGTTAGCGAAGTAGATTAAAATCCAGTTTACCTGTAAGGAAAACGGCCTTTGGGGTTTATATTTGTGGACATTAGAATTTAAAATTTTAGTTACCATATTGGGAACGGGCACGAAATACATGCACTTCTTAATTCCAAAAAATGAAATCGGAATGCAGATAAGAGAATTACAGAGAAAGGACCCACAGCCAAACGTAGCTCCGATCCTGTTATTGTATCATTAAAATCATTAAATCATTAATCGTTAAATCATTAAATGTATAATAATAAAAGTTTATAATATTAGTTTACTTACCACATCACCTCGTGCAAGTCAATTGGTCTGCCAAGTGGACTTTCATCGGACAGGAGCAACGGCAGAGTAGGAGAGAACCAGCCCAGAGATATTCCATGGGCTAACGACATAATGCACACTAAAATCAAATGCCATATATCAGCTGTTGAATGAATGGTCCTCAAGATTCTCACCTACATGTCAACGTGAAAAGCACTTGCCAACGGGTGCGCTTGCTGCAAATTCCCATGTTCTTCGATTGACTGAGCCCAAAAGTCACATAATTCTACATATTCTGTAGAATTCATTCCCAGTTTGCCAGTCAACCAAGAGTCTGTGGAATAGAAATAATCCTGAACATGATTTCATTAACTAGATGATCTTTGAATTACCAATAAAAGTTTATTTAGCTTGAGTGTTGTAGCAAAGTAAATGTGATGATGATTCTCATGAGAATTCATGTAATGGTATTAGAATTTTTAAAAAGACGTTTGATGTAAGAAAGCCTTTGAATTTGTTTGACATTCTTTTGAGTTATGACAAAGTACTTCAAGACATTTAATTTAAGCCACTTTTTTAACTGTTTTTGGTCCGTCAGGGTGGTGAAACCCCTTCACAGATGTATTTTGTTACGAATACAAATGAAAAGCACTTTTATCTTATGTTTACTCATAACACAAATGGCAACAAAGTGGATGAGGAAATGCTCTACTCATGGAGATTATGATGTCCAAGTGCTTGTGGATACACAAATAAAAAAATCATGAAATTCGCGGAACAGTGAGTTTTTATCCTCAAACAATTAGGTCTCACAAAGATATTATCAAAAAAAAACAAAAGGGGGAAAAGCAATCAAACAGCATGACAACAAGTTAATGTCGAGTGGGGGAGAATCTCTTCCCGAGACAAGTATCGGTTTATCGGATCGAAATCGACGATCGTGTCACAATAAATGATTTTCCTGTGATCAAGTTATTATCTGCAGTTCCTGGCCCCACTCAGGCAGTCAGACCGACTTGGTCTCTCATCGACTGTCTGCTCTGGCCGCTTATATCGATCGATAATGAGGGGTTCCTGTGCTACTAGCTAGCCAAGTTTTTGGCCGCGGATTACATAAATCTCAGTTGCATTTTAATGCTCAAAAAAAAAAAAACAAAAAACGGCCCCATCGTGATTCCTTTTGGAAGACTCCGTCGTCGGGTTTCGTGGCTGGAGCTCTGCACGGTCGGAGGTCATGCCCTGCGGTTTGTTGTGCCGTTTGTAAAATGCTCAATAAAAAAATATCAAATTTTTTCTGTGTCATTTGCATCTGCCTAATGCTGCAATCCACGGCAAGCCGTGACCATATTATAACCCACTCCGGCACTTTGACACAGCCAAGGCGATCAGTACCAGTGCCCAGGCTCCGGCTTCTTTGGTGGCCCACCCGCTTGTCTTTCATCATTAGCACACAATTGTTCACCAACTTCGAATGCTAAGATATCACTTTCGTTTGTTCAACTGTCACTGAGGATAAATTGCTAACAAAAAGCGGAGACAAGCTCGGGATTTTAGATTTCAGACATTACTTTTCACTTGCTCATCTGGTTTAACTATCATTCCCAATGGATGATGCACTTTATCCGGGTATACTAAGTAGAGTTCTATTCTCTCATCAACAGGTTGGTTAACTAACCTTATTGTATCCGCCGATTCACCTTTAATTTATTTGTGGTTCAAGCAACAGATTACGTCTTTAAAGTGGTTTGAGAGTAACATAAATTGATGTCATGCATTGCTTTCGAATTTGGTGATCTCGCGGCTGCTGTCGATTATTTTGATGTCACATCATTTATGTCACAGAAAATCATTTATTTAATTAAGAATATTTATCAAGATTTTTTGGGTTTTTATTGAGTTAATTAAATTAAATAACAAGCGACGAAAATGTATATTCGTTCTTGTCGATCAAGAAGCTGTTGTACGCTGTTAATATTTTTTAGTAAAGATTCTTTCTTGAAAGGTACTTGTATTTGCTTGATACATTCAATAAAAATATTATATATGTATGTAAAATTATATTCATATTACTTTCCGATCTCTCAGAGGCCGAGGGTAAATCTTAAACATTAACAAACTAAGAAAGTCTGAGAACCTTTCAAGGACTTCGATCCGAGGAAATTATGTTCAAAAAATGTTAAATAAATTCTGCTAAAAAATAGAAACATTTATCAAAGCTAACCGAAAGTATAACCTGCGAGCATTAATCATGGGGTTATCTCCACCATTGATCTTGACAAATGTGGGTCGTGTCCGAGAAACTTAAAAGCTCTGCCTCGGCAAAAAGCAAATTTAGGCACCTGAATACTCGCATGGAAAAGTGCCAAGAATGTGAGCAAATTAAACAAAGAAAAAAAAATAGATGCCGCGCCTAGAAATTAAACCAGAGATTCCCAAAAACTGAAAAAAAGTTAACAATTAAATCAACAAATTGTGGCTGCTGCTGCTTAGGTGCAAGAACGAAAAAAAGGCTTTGGCCAAATGCTGAATGAATGACGGCATGAATGGATGAGTAATTGAAGGCAGCGAGTATTGTTCTCAGGGTACAGACGAGCACACAGTTGACACTGTGCCATGTGTGGGTGTATCACCCGAAGTATCTGGCAGATACCTTTGGTGGCCCAGCTTGACTGAGACCGAGACGAAGATGGGAGCCCCTAGTCATGGCGAAAATCGCACGTTTCTATGCAAATCTTCTTCGCTTTTCAATCATCTACACGACTAGGCCACGGTGGCTTCTGTTTTTTCTATTTAATTTTTTTGGTAGTTTGTCCGGAGACGTTTTTGGGGGCCTGTAGGCAATAATTATCGCTTGCATTACGTATTTCGGCTGCTTCTCGCTTTTGTTTTCGGCTCGGCGACTGTCTGTGTGACAATCTAACTGGGTTGGCATAGAAAACGGGCGTTAAAATTAAAGGGAGTTAAATGGTTTTTCAATTCACAAAAGGCAAAGGCAACGCCGCTGCGATTGCATGAGGGCCCACCACCAGCTAACCAACACTATCCAACACCATCCATGCTTCTGTGATGGATAGTTTGGGGTTAAATATAGGCTAGATGGCTTCTTAGATGCTTCTACAATGATTTGACACTTTGCCTGGTCTCTTTTTCGGCTTTACCCACCGAATTTACTGAATTACTTTTCAACAAAATGGAAAAACGACCTTTTAAGGTTGTTGCCCAATGCCCACAGCGGCAGTTAAGGGAGTGTTAGGACTTGTAAAAGTTATCATGGTGACTGTTTATTTGGCAAGTGTAGTTGCTTGGCTTAAAATGTTATTAAAATTAATTGGTTGTGGCAATGAGTTTGTTTTAAGTATTTTCTTTTAAAGATTAGGTCCCATACTTATTGCAAGATGTCTTTAATAATAATTAACTTTTTTATGTTTAGAAAATATATCTATTTTAGTGGTTTTTAGATTTTCATGTACTATTTTTTAAAGAAAATTAGGATTTACGGTCCCTAACTTAAACATCAATAAACATTTTCATTTAAATAAATTAAGTTAAAAGATTATCTTCTATTTTTATTCACTATTTGTCCTTCAAAGAAGCTTCATTAGGTACCTCAAATAATGTTTTTAGTGCCTAAAGATCGCTTGTAAGTTATCAGTTGGGCAATTCATTATGATTGCATGCAGAACGCTCCACCATTCTTAATGAGAAAAGCCGCAAGTCTCAATGTCATTTCTGCTCGAGGGAAACAACAAAAACATTGTCAATATCTTTTAATGAAAGGAACTAATACACCAAGCCAGCTAAGAGCCAGAACCAACTCGCTATTAAAGTCACGTTAAGCAGGCAGAAGCGCCAACTGGCTGGTGATTACGACCATCACTTCTGATTTTGAATAGAATCCAATGTTAATTTTACATGAACCGCCGACAATTGGAGGTGATCCAATGCTGGATAGCCAGAGCTACTGGCTGGCCTGGCCTGGCTGGGCTGCGATGCCCCATGGCTGGAGATTCGTGGGAATCTTTGCGGCTGCCATTATTTGAGCATTTTCGCTACACCGAATCCATAATCGCAGGCGCAATGAATCGGCATCTGCATCTGGCTTCGTGTGCAGAAGGAAGAAGTTGCTGGCACTGCTGCTGCCGCGACGCCATAGAGACGCAGATAGAGCTAGCGAAAATCAAACAACGGTATTATGCAACCAGGAGTTGCTGGGCCCCCAAAGAAACGCTGCCCCAAAATCATAATAAAAACTGTCCACTGTCAACTCTTCAGCTGTCTTCCCTTTTTGCTCCATAGAAGCCGAGAAACAAGCCAAGAAACAAGAAACGCCTCAAGTCAAAAAGTCGTCACTGCGAGCATTTCGAATCTTTAATTTGCGATTTTGTTTGTTATGCCTTCCACGAGCGATCGACCCATCGACCAGCTCATCGCCGATCACCAAGCCACCGACCCACTCTGGATCTCTGCTGTTGGTCCAAAGACCCTACAAGTGCTTCCCCTTCCTCATTAAAGGCTGATGGATTTCCAAACTGTCATCTTGCTGATTGATTGAAATCAATTTCAATTCCATGTGCTCGGCATTTAATGCAATTTACGGTACATAATGCAAAGGAGGTTAATCCCTTTAGCTGTCAACCGATTAGAGGGCGTGCGAACATTGCGTATACGTAATAATTATGAAGACATCAGCGTGGAAAGAGAAAATAATAATTAATAAAACGGATATGTGCTTCGTAGAGAAGTGGTCTTTTATACTAAGAACTATGTTTTCTCTGGGTATGAAAATATAGAAAATAAATGAAAATCTTTGAAAAATAAATACATAACTTTGACTTTAAATCACATATGAAAAAAACTGAACTTATTCTTTTACATTCAAGGAATTTGTAAAAATAATCAAACACAATATTTTACTTGATAAGTTGGTGAATTTTCTATATTTAAATAAGAAATCGACCTAATTTAAATTTTATAATCATAATATAAAATTAAAATAAACATTAAAATGTTTAAATATTTATTTAAAGCCAAAAATGAAATACCAACGTTAAAGTCTCACACCAAAAATTCCCTGATTAAATTCCAAAGATGGTTATTACGAGCATAACAGCAACACTAACATAACAGCAATGTTACGCTTTTCTCCGGCGATGTGGCTCTGTTAAGATCTTCGTAGCCCGAAGATTTGTGCTCTTGTCTTCGGTTTTTGCCGCCCCTCTCTGGATGGCTGTGATCAGCTGATCGCTGGACCGGTTGCAAAGACACTCTGCCTTTGTTTGGCTTTGCCGCTGCTTTTGGATTTTGGCCAGACTTCGGGCTTCTTTGGGAATTGAGGAAGATGTGGCAGCGATCTTCGGTTGGCGGTAAGCTCGTCCAGATCGACGACGAAGACTGGCTTTGATTTTCGCTGCGTTTGCGGTGGCTTTGCGAGCGTTTTCGCTAAACAGAGTTTCGAGTCTGCGGCCCGCTCAACTACTAAAGTTGGACGCCGCATTTGCCAATTGAAACATTCAAATGTGAATATCGTACGGGTGAAGACGTCTTCTGTTCGTCTGGCTCTGGCTCTTACTGTATTTTCATACCAATCTCAAGTGATACATTTAAGAATAACAAAGTGCTCTTAGTGATACTTCAAACTCTTGTGATTTGATATAAAAAATATTTTTGATTTTCTAAGGATCAAAACTGTTTTTCAAAGGATGTTTGTGAACACTAAACAAAATATCAATTTTATAGGAACAATTGTGAATCAAGGATTTAAAACAATACTATAAGATCACTTCAAGTTTCAGTCTTCAGAGATATATATTTTTTTAGTTTTGATGAATTTACTTTTTGTTTCCTCCCATTCATATGAACTTGGCCTGAATCTTTGGTCAAAACTGTTACTAATTAACTTATTTCCTTTGAGATTACCAAACTTTAGTTTTGCCTTAATGACGTCTTCATAATGCAGACATGAAAAACTTGAAGTGATTTTGAGCCACTACCGAAAACATCAACTAAATCGTGATATCTGTGCATTACAACCTGATCCCTCTCTAGCCCATAACAAATAATAAACCAAATAATCGAGCATAGTGAGACAACATAAATAACAATAACGAATAATATGCAACAATCTAAGTAATATTTACAAGAAACAAAAACAAAAAACAAAAATAACGAAAATCAACAAAACGCTACGAATAACCCAGTCGGAGAGCGGAAAACTTTGTCATAAATAAAGTTACGGCGAAAACCTCCATATTACTTCAATCACGAAACTGAAAGCAAGAAAAGGAAGCTGTGGAAGATTGAGTTGCTGCCACAGTTACTTAGCTGACTTGCCTGAGTGTTGCTGCTCCACAAACTGACATTCAGAGTAGTGCCAATGATGTTGATGCCGCTTAAAGGTGAGTGAGCTGAGAAGATCGCAAAATACTTAGCCAAGAATTTCGACAACTTGGCAGATCGACAGCTGAATGGCTTCGAGGCTTCTAATAAAATGCCAAACGCATTTCGTACGCATCAATGGATAAAAAATATGGTTTTGAGTGTGCTCAAATTGTTGCCTTTCACAAAGCATCATCTTAGTTAGATTTATTGCATGTATTTCCTACATAATTTTTTATTACTTCGTTTGGCCAGCTAACTGAAGATGCTGGCAAAATGTCAATGCGTTGGCTGCATAATGGAGAGGCCATTTTATGGTGGCTTTTGTAAGTTATGCAATATATAAATGAGTAAGATAAATGAATAAAAAAATACTTGTCAAGGACTTAAAAAATAACTAAACTGTCAAGTTCGTTATTATTTTTAATGACAACTAGAAAATATTTTCGAATAAAAGGCAGGATAAAGTACCTCCTGAAATTGTTCATATTCATAATAGAAATGTTTAAGCAGAATTTTTTAAAGAGTTCTTTGCCATTAATAAATCAATAAATTTAAGTTGTATCCTTGGAAGTCTGTTCTTCATTTAGTATTTGTTAGCCTCTAACTACCTAGACTAATGAACAGCCTCCATATGCATCCGATTATTAATCCATTAAATATAATAACATAATCAAGATGGCTCACTGGTAGATTCAAAGTCATGAGTAGTAGCTTGGCTTCTTGTATTTTTAGTGATCAATGTAAAATCTAATTGGTTCTAGCCAATTTCCATAAATCTTCAATATGCCTGAGGTGACTTTTCGCTGATGATTAATTTGCAAATTGTTGGCTTGCTTTAGGTGAATAGATACAGCAATTAAAAGCCTCAAAACTGCCGGCGTGCATTTCAAATTTAAGTTTTTTTTTCAGATTTTCTAATTTTTACTGCATAAATTTAGTGTTGCAAAATTTGCAACCGCAATTGTTGCCTCGACTTGGCATTGTTATTAACGAATCTAAGATAATGCTGGCGGCTCTCTGAGCACACAGTTCAAGGATAAACATCGACGGTAGCTGCTTAACTTAGAACAAACCCTTGGGAGGGGGCTGGGCCAAAATTCAGAAAAAAAAAAACGCAAAACCAAAGCCATTTGCAGCTGCAACATTTTTGTGTTAGATAATTTGAATTGGTGCTCAGCCCGTGATTACTGGGTGAGCAACTCGGCCAGAGGGCCGCAGAAAGTAGTGCAGAAATTGGGAAATGCGCCTTAAATGTCAAGAGGTGCCACAGTTTTGTTTTCTTCTACAGTACAGCCTCGTGGCGCAAATGAACAAAGGAAAGAGCTGGCTGGCTAAGAGAAAAGACAAATTTAGGCCAAATGTGTGACTTAACGTCTTTCACATCGCACACACACCCACACCGAGGAGGAGAAAGGGGGGTGCCTGCTTTTGTTTTATGTGGCAGGAGGTTAAAGTTGACTAGGGAGACGAGCCGAAGGCAGGCAGGCGGCCGAAGAAGAAAAAAAAATAAAAGAAAACCAAGCCGGGCTGCCTCAAATGTAACAAAATGCTACAATATAATTTTGCCCGTTGTTGTCTGCAGATGGCCAGATAAAAGTTCAAAATGCGAGTCTTAACCGGGGTCTAGTCTGGCCAAGTTGGTCTGGTCTGGCCTGGGCCGGTCTGCTCTGCTCTCTGGTCTGGTCTGCTCATTAACGTTTCCAGCTAAAGAAATGGCAAATAAATTAAAAAGTCATTCAAGCAACAATACCCAAATGGAGGATTCCCCTCCAGCAACTAAGGTAGTGTTGTGTCTCAAATCGCCGCAGTCGTGTAGCCTGTAACCCATTCAAGTGTTGATGCGTTAACTGGCGCTGCGTGCGCATCGCTGAAAAGCCAATGAGCCGCATCTGAAAGATACGAGTAAAAGTATCTAACAACGATTCCTTGTAGACAAAACAAACAACCTTACAATTGCTGTTTTTGTGGCCCGTCTTTAGTGATTAATGAAGTGTAAATAATGTAAATGTTTTCTATTTTTTCTCCATTTTATTTTTTTTACAAGATTTCAACATATTCTAGGCGGATTCAGTGGCGTTTTTTCATCGAGTTATCATCACGATTCATCATTTTGTTTTCGCTTTTTACTGCGTTTATCAGAGGGCTTATTTTGGCAGACGCTGAAAAGAAAAAAAAAACGAAAGACTTTGACAACGAACTTGCAACGAGCCAAAACTCCAAGCAAAAAAGTCCACTTTTTTTAGTGGTTATTGTCAGCTGGCAAAATGTCAGTAGAGTGCACTTGAGCCATAAATAAGCCATTTGTCAATTTTTTTTTTGGTTTGGTGAACAAATAGAAGACAAAAACCAACGAACTTGAACTTTTCAAAGGAACTGTGTGAATTTGGCAACGGTACTTGGCCGAGAGTGCTGAAGTGTTGAAATCAAATGATGTCTTTAACTCAGTCACTTAACTATAATTTATCAAATTCATGCTGCATCAAGCTTTTCCATAATAATAGTTATTTAGTCGCATGCGTAAAACGTTCAATTACATCACGATTTCAAAAATATGATCATTATATCAACTCAGCAACTAAATGCCAGCATTCTGCTCGTTCATCAAGACACACGTGCGTTGCGAATTGCGTAGCGTTTGCCAGTGTTTTTATGGATCCCTCGCCATCCACATCTATGTGTGTATCCCCTTCAGATATAGCCATAGCCGTTTCTAGCTTAAAATATATGGCCATTCAATCGGCAGGCTAAATGTCAGGCCAAGATGCTGACCTCCATGGCCTGACATGCTACGTTTAGGCCATTTTAGGGCTGCCACCTAAATGGCATTTTGATCTGCATGGTCTAAGGTGAACTTCATGGAGAAGAAGTTACCAACTTGGCCAGTAGTTGCACATAAACATTTTATAGCATTGGCTTAATTTTGGAAGCTTAACAAATCAGATCGTATAGCAACTTTTTTCGTTACGAGTTTTTGGACACAAAAGCGGTCAAAATAAAATTTGGCTTTAATACCTAATAGTCTTAATTATCAGTCTTCCCCCATTCATTGAGTAAACAATGAAAAATGAGCAAATCATAAAGCCAAAGAACAAGTTTCGCTAAGCGCTTTCTTTCTACGCATATTTGTTTTTATCTTAGTTTTGATATCTAGATAATTAATTCGCTGTTTTACAGTTGCTGGAGAACCTGATTCCAGATTATTTGAATCATTTCTGTGTTTGTTTACTTCTCAGACTCTAAGACAGGATCTAATTCGGGAGAGTGACATCATTTGGCTTGCGCTAAGGATGCGCATTTGTTGGCTAAAACGATCAAAGAACAGGTCTCTGGGTGGCTTCATGAATCATAAAAATAGCATATAAAATATGAAGACACTAATGGGTTTTCTTATAAAAGGTGTCGGCCAAGGCTAGAATCTAAAAGTGCCGTTCTCACTGCGAGTCATTAAAAGTGTCGGGCGATAAATTCAAAACCGAAAATAGTTCCCACTGACATTTTGCCATTAGAAGCACTACGGCGGTGCCTTTAAGCCATCATTATGAACACAAATAAACAAGAATAAAGCGTCAATAATCGTCTATTAGGTACTACTTAAGTAGGCAGCACTCACAAATTGGTATCAATATCAGACACCGGTTCAATTCCAAGAGCTGACAGCCAATTAGAGACGCCTACCTCACATGTTTACCATTTAAAAATCAAATCAATAAATCATAGAAGTCAGTATTAAATTCCGCATTTAATTCGACGATATTGTTGGATATTTTCAAGCACAATCAAGCGCGCGAAGGCAACCAAATGACAAGAGCTTTCAACAGTCATAATCATGTTTGCTACACAAAACACTTTGATATTTCGGTAACTTGTTGTCGCTTACAGACGCGCGCGCTTCAAAAAATGGCAAACAAAAAAAAAAAACAAAAACATTTTCTTGTCGTGCCAAAGTCAAGTTCGTTACTTAAGTCTTTTGTTTGGTGTTCGAAGTGGGGACTCTAGAATCGTGTTTTGAGCTTTGAACTTATCCTAATTCATCTGCGGATTACGTTTTCTAACTGAAAAGCAAACAAAAATGTAATTTTCGCTATCATTTCCGCTTACATTTTTTTCGTTTTCCGTCACTGACACGCTAAACGAACAGCGAAATCATAACAAAATCCGAAATCCAAATCAAAAGTGACTTTCATTTACGCGGCAACTGGCAAACAAGAAACAATTACTACGAACAATAAGCAACTAATTCGCATCTCTCAGTGGCTGTACGGGTATGTGGCCATATGTACATATCTCTATAAGATGTGAGTGCACGAAGATGGGTGCAAGTTGAAGCAATCACAAAAAGGCCATCTCGACGAGGAAAAGCAGGCGGCAAAGAAAAGCCGCAAAGCCCCACTGACTTAGAGCCGATGTTGGCCATTGTTACTGGCTGTAATTAAGCCAAGAGTTGATTATTTAACCAGGTGACATAAATACACCGCGACCTGATAACAAACACTGACCCAAATATGCGTAATCTGGAATCGAGACAAACAAAAGAACGAATCCGAGGTGCAACAGTTTCTTTGGCAACTACCTCAATTACTTATTAATTGCCGCTCGACTCGACTTGACTTGGTTGGCTGTTGTTGTCGTTGTTATTGTTGGTAGTTAGCTGTTGGCAGTTGGCAGTTGGTGCTACTGGTTTTCTGCTGCAATTGTTACCGGCGTGTCTTGATGCCGCCCGGGCTGTCATAAATTGCGCTTGCCAGCTCGAATCTTGCAGATTGCCTCATATCAATTGAAACTGGCTGTGCGGCGTTTTCAATTGTTATCTTTTGATATTTTTTCGGCTATTAGTGAAAACTTGGCACATCCTACAGAAAGTTATATATCTTCTCGTTGACAACTCAATTGTTATGTGAGCACCATCGGGGGATTAATTTCCGCATGTGCGCCTTCGATGGGTGACACAGCGAGTTGGCGGATTCGAGGTGGCAATACAGGAATTGGGAGATTGGCAACATAGATGTACCGAACCGGA